GCAGCTGTTTAACCGTAAGCCCAGCTGGAACATCATTGCCACCGTCGGTCCTGCTGGTCGACATCAATGCAGACAAATTACACAGCCAGAATATCACAGGGGCTGACGGCTCTACAGTGGAACCGCTGTAGACATAGTGGGGGGGCGGAGGGGGGGCGAAGGCAAACACAGTGGTAAGCCAGACAAAACAGGATTTTCCCGCTTCTTTGGATATTGTGTTTGCGGAAGACAAAAGGCACGTGGCCTCTTTGAACAATAGAAACTTCCGACCGAGGCATTGTCTTTGCATTTTGAATAAATACGTGCGGCGTACGTCGGGGGCCTCGAGTGTCACAGTGTGCGGCAACCAATGTCTCTGGCACCGCGTCCGACCCATCCACACCTGCTTTTCTTTCCGCAGCGTAACAACGCGATATTTAGACGCGTCAGTTGCGCATTCGCGTAACTGCAGAGTACGTTCTGCGTCACATGCACTCACACGCAGAGCCCGTTTTGTCAACCCGCTGCTGCAGGAGGTCCTCCCTACGCCTCGCGGGCTCTAGTCCAATGCTGGTTGGCGGTTGGTGGAAGAAAGTACAGATACCAAAAGTAGAGATCCCAAGAGTACAGATTGTTGGAGGAAAGTACAGATACCAAAAGTAGAGATCCCAAGAGTACAGATTGTTGGAGGAAAGTACAGATACCAAAAGTAGAGATCCCAAGAGTACAGATTGTTGGAGGAAAGTACAGATACCAAAAGTAGAGATCCCAAGAGTACAGATTGTTGGATGAAAGTACAGATACCAAAAGTAGAAATCCCAAAAGTACAGATTGTTGGAGGAAAGTACAGATACCATAAGTACAGATCCCAAAAGTACAGATTGTTGGAGGAAGTACCTTATTTGGCTTAGTCTAGCACTGAGAGCTAAAGCTATGCCATAATCAAAATCTTCATTAATACTGGAGAAATCCGATGAGCTATGAAGCTCTTTTTCACAGATGTCCAATATGGGCTGGTCGGAAAGTTACAACAAACAACGCAAAAGAACGATAGGTGTGCAAATTATCGGAAAGGTAAGAAATCACTAAAAATAAATAAACTGAAACTCAACTATTTTTATTTTACCGGGTAAAGAGCCCAGTGAGATTTGAGTTATGTTTCAGAAGCGACCTGGCCACAAATGATTGCTCAAGGAAATGGCTTAGGTGGACATTTATAACAGCCAAATAATTACACACTCAACTTACAATGTAACAATCTTTGAAATAGTGTATTCAACCAGACTATGCGTTATGAGACCTCCTTTGCCAGTAACAAGATATAGGAATAGGTTTTACCCTTTTAACTGGCACAAAAACTGACACCTTTATTAAGGTATGCCAAAAGGCGTAAGGTACGTCTTCTGGTCCAACACCAATGGAGACTAGGCTCTAAGAAAAGCTGTCTCGGGTGTGGACCAATCAAATTCAAGGACAGTGCATATTATTATCAGAGTTGTCTTTTTTGTTTGCATTTTGACTGCTTGTGTTGTGGTTATTGCAAACATGATGCCTTGAATAAATGTGTCAGTTTTTGTGCCAGTTAAAAGGGTAAAACCTATTCCTATAACTAGACTATGCGTTAATTGTGTTTTAACCGACCGTCTATGTTGCTTTATATAGTTTCCAAATTTTGCTTAACCCTGTTTGATTTAGTGTCATGCTCCGTCTCTCTATATCCCCTGGTATATCTGTGTTAATTCCCTCTACTTAAGGTCTGTATATATATCTGCGGTTATGTGTTTCCTCTACCTGATGATGATTGCTTGTGTTGCAATCGAAACGTCGTATATTATGTAATTTTATTTTTTTCCTATTTCTACGTGACTTTACCGAAAAAAACAAAGATTAATTATTTGGCTGTTAGCATCTATAAACGTCTCAGGCCAACATTGGTGAACATTCTTTCCAGACCACAATTCAGTGCTATCGCATTTTCAACGTACCTTTTTTGGGGGTAATTGAAGTAGTTTCAAATACATGAATAATAATTGACTACCACGCTTTTTTTTCTTTCTCATCATGAAATAAGACAGCACACAATACAGAGGGCATAGAGCAACGTTGAGTTTTCAAACTCACAACATAAAACTCTCCAGGCATTTGAGTAGTTTTTTGTGTGTGTGTGTGCGTAGCATCGAAATGCGAGCGATGCTTACGGTGGTGCAACGGTGATCACGCCGGACATTGCCGTCCAGAGGTCGCCGCTTTGATTGCCGCCGCGGCAGTTGTTGTTGAGACGACCGGGCAGGTCGCCACCGCCTCTGTCCATCTCGCAGTGCGAATGGCTTCACCAGAGTCAGTCGGATCGGCGGAGTTCGCGTGCAGCGGGGTACATGGTGCGGGCGCTCCTGTACCTCTGCCGAGAGGCGCAGTGTGGAGGAGTAGGCGGGGAGATCCTTCCGCTGTGCCCACGCACAGCCAGTCGGTACGGAGGTATCCATAATAAAGGTTGTTTTGGGTTAGATCGTGCGTATATAAATGGGCCGTGAAACCCCGTTGCCACCCCACGCAGCCAATTGCTAGGGTTTGTCGCGCAAGCAAAGTGTTACTACTTCAGCACCACCGGTGTGTTGGAGAGTAAAATCCGCAACATTTTTTAATTCGAGTACGACGTTTCGCTGGTGATTGCAACCAGCCTCATCGGGCGGATTAGCCAGAATTGTGAGGAAGTCGGTCTTAAATAGAGTAATGGTGATTGATGTCAACCCAAAAAAAATTGTATTATGAATATTGGTCACGAAAACCCACGTGTTAAACTGGTACAGAGGTAGCTAGTTCTCAAGTGCAGTGAGTTGATGGTCTCAACTCGATTAACTAAAAACGAAAGTGTTATATTTTTTTACGAGGTGAGGCCCATTGAGCTATACAGCTCTTTTTCAGAACCGATTTGCCACAAATGATAGCTCAACTAAGTGGCTAATCACGTGGAAATTTATAGCGGCCAAATACTCTAAATGCACGTGGATTATAAACGTGTAGGGAAAACCGGAGGACCCAGAGAAGAATCCACACAACCACGGGGAGAACATGCAAACTCCAATTATACAGGCATCACGGTCGGAATCGAACCCACGACCTCTTGTATACCAAGCGAGGTAGTGAACAACTCGAAGCAACCCACCCCCTATCAGCCTGAGAGCTTCGTGGTCGAGGGGGGTGCCCGGCAGTGTGTGGGCATTCAGCGTTTAACTGTGGGCGTCTGTCAGTGAGTGGAAGGACGAGTAACATCAGGTTACCTGAGCCAGTGACGGGGTCGTACCGCTCACACCAGCTGTTGTTGCTAAATCGAGGCCTGGCTGTAAGGAGAGCCACATGGCAGGTTGACAACAGGGGCTATGAACAGAATCGGGCTTCTCCGCTCAAACGAGCTTTACATTAGTTAACACTCACTTTGCTTATAATTATTATCATCAGTCTACTCATTCCACTGCTGGATGAAGGCTTGCCCAAGCCACTAACTTTCAACCCACCTATCTCCTGCGCACGAGCTGATTTATTAACGCCAAATCACCCGTGGATGTGCTCTCGGATGCTTGACGTTCCTTGGCTGCCGTTCCTTATTATTCTTGACTCGTCGGCCGTCACCCGCTGGAGTGACGTGTCCTGCCCAAGCCCACTTACGTTTCTGAGCAGTTTGAATGGCGTCCTTAACCTGTCGGTGTATGCTGAACTTCTTTCGCACAGTACGTATGACCAACCGTGCTAATCGGAGGTACGGCGAAAAGGACAACCAAACTGAACACAAGCAGCAGGAGATTAGTTTTCACATCTGGATTTAAAGGTGCATAGCTCCCAGTGGCTTACGAATATCGGGAAGGAAGAGCGTTCCAGACGGCCACAGAAGCGCATCTGAAAAGCCGTCTTTGTTTGATCGTTAGCCAAAAGCTGCGTGCGAGGACGAACGGAGTTCACGTGATGGTTGATGCTCGTTGACGAAATCAGCGAGGTATTGTGATTCATTTCTAGCAACCACTTTATGTGTATGTTCAACAAATGTGTTCCTCTTTCTGTCACTCAGAGAAATTGCAAGCAAGCAGCTCTTTATGATTCTTTACACACTTTTCAACTTTTTCCCTGTTTCTGAACCATATGTCATAGCAGGTAGCACTGTACCCGAACTTCCTTTACGCCTACAGTCTACTCAAAGGGAAGTGCTGGTCTCCATTGACACAACTGAGCCAGTGGTGGAAATTCCACATTACTATGTGGGAGCAAGTCTGCGTAAAAAGGGGTTGGATTACTGATGAACTTTGTTGACGGATGGGATTTGAACTTGCCAATTTTGCGCGGAACATTCTGACCACAGTCAAGGCCCGATTTAATTATGCGTGCGTATCTCAGAGTTAAATCTAGCCAGGTGGTACTGCTGATGGAGGCGTAGGTCCCACAATCTTCCAAGGATCTAAGTTCCCAATCCAGTCAAAGACCTACTCTTGTGACCGTCTCGGTTAAATTTTGTTCAACAAAATTTTTGTTCAACAAAAATTAAGCGATGGAAAAATACTCGCTGGCAACACTTTTTTTTAATTTTGTCAACAACGACTAACAGTGGATTGTATTTAAATGTATTCAGTGTGAATAATTTTGTAACGTGAGGCTCTATCTGTGCGACAGCATCTGTGGGTGCCGAGGTGGTGAAACAATAAACTCTCTTGCCTGATATGCAGGAGGTTGTGGCTTCAAATCCGACCCTAACACGTGTTGTATATTTGGAGATTGCGTGTTTTCCCCATGGTCGCGTGGATTTTTCTCTTGGGTCCTCTGGTTTTTCCCTCCACATAGAAAATAAACGTGCCTTTAATGTATTTGGCTGCTGTAACTTTCCACGTGATAAGCCACTTCTTCGAACTAACATCTGTGATGGCCAGATTGCTTCTGGAAAAGAGCGATAGGGCTTAGTGGACCTTGCCTGGTGATTTTTCTTCGTTAGTTTTAATAGTGTGTCTAATGCACTGCCTCTCTGCCCGTTGCTTCCGCAGGCACATCATGAACGAGCTCATGGAAACTGAGAGAGCGTACGTGGAAGAGCTTCTCTGCATAATAGAGGTGAAAAATACCCCTCGCGTTTATAAAACACAGAGATATAAAGCAAAACGTCGCAGGATAATGCTCACCGGGGTTTGCGCGAGTCTCCCTGGGGACATTGAACGTCTGCTGGTTGTTGCCGTTTGCACGGTAATCATACAAATACTACTACACCACTGAGGTCAAAGTTAATTTGGTCAACCAGGTAAGAATGCTCAGGAGACCAGGATAAGTCAAGTTTGCTTCCGGGACCGAGATAATCTGTAAACGTTTAGTTCTCCCCTCTTTCGGTATTTGTGAGATATTCTCGTTTAGATTTTTCGGTGAGAATTCCGAAGTAAAATACGTGTCGTACGCCCTCTACCAACTGACACAGCCAGCGAATAAAGTTGTCATGTCGACACACGTGCCAATTTGTGACCATTTGAGCGGCACACTCACCATTTCTTTGTTCGAGCCATCGAACAAAGACGGTCACCGCATCGCACGCTTTCAGATGCCCAACTGCGGCCAACTTTAACGCTCTTCCTTCCGATATTAGGAAGCCACTGGAGCTATGCACTTTTCAATCTAGATAAAAAAAATATATAATTTCTTTAGAACTTATTTTTGTGTTTAGTTTTGTTGTCCTTCCCCCGCACCTGCGATTAGCACGGTTGGCTACGTACGGTGCCAAAGAAGTTCAACGTGCATGCACGTACACTGGTGTGTCTCAGAGCAGTCCACAACATTTAACAACTGGGTCGTACTCAAATTGTAAATGTTGTGGATTTACTCTCCAACACACCGGTGTTGCTGTAGCAGTAACGAATTGGCACGTTCTGTTTACGTGACAAACCTTACTAATTGTCTGTGTCGGGTGGTGGCGGGTTTACTGACACATTTATTTTCACGCGATGTAACCGCAGAGAAAATAAAACGTGTATCATGAGCGCGTTTTATGTTGTCTCTCACTCATAACAAGAGAACCGCTCGTGCGTTGGATTACACCTGGGCCTTGAATGACCCACTGTCGTCGTTCACATGGACAGTCCAAGCTTCTGTGTCGATTTGCGTTCATTATCAACGCTGGGAAATGACCAGCGGCATTTAGTGATTCTTTAATAGCAATTGCGAATAACTGATGGTCAGAGTGGGTGTGTTTGGCTAGGCATTAGGAAGGCAACCATTACAGTTTATAAGAATTTAAATGTATTTTTACCAAGCTTTACTAAACATCGCAAGGGCTTATCACGGGGCGTGCTGTCAGTTACACAAGACGGGATTTCAATGAACTGTGCAAATGTCGTGGACACAATGATCCGACACTTTCAGTTGCTCGCAGCAACAGCGTTCACCCATTGAATGGATGATAGCAGAGATTTTTATCCTCTGAGAATGCAGCAAAGTACAAAGACGATGGAGCAATAATGCAGACTGCGGTCACAAAGGTAACTGCTCTCGCGATAATCTTCGAAAATCACTCGCGTATTCGCGTCGTGAAATTTGATCACGCGGGAGACCGTGCTAATTACACGGCTTGTCTTAACGAATACACAGTCACTCGAGCTGCGTGCATTTTGTTCATAATAACTCTGAAGGACCGTATACATTTATTGGAAATATATATAAAGGATACAGACATTTTTTAAAAATCTTGATTACATCATGACGCTAAGAGGATGGACATTCTTCCACGCAGTAAAGGTTTTTTTGGGCCAATTTAATAGCGCCGATTGGAATTAAACATTTTTTGTTCGCCCGTTGACAAGTAAGCTTGCGGATAATAAAAATGAAACTTGGCAATGCTGAGCCTGCAGGATTTCACCTCAAAGTTGATTTTCCAAGTGACGGTTCCATGTAGCTCCTTGACAAAAACTGTTCCTATGGGGGCACTTACCCACCACCCCTTTCCCCGCTTTGATTGTTACCACATTACACCTTCACAAACCGACACAATGCGTGCTATAGTGCAGGCCGTCTGGCCAGCTGCGTCCTGTCTCGGCAGGACTTGTATCATAATGATACAGGTATCAACAATTTAGTGTTTTGGGCATGCGTGCCGTTCATATAGCACAGGGCGATCATGAAATGCAGGCGCTGGTGAGACTTACAAACAGATTTTAGTTTCATCATTAGACCTCCTTTGCCAGTACCAAAATGTAATGAGAGGGTTTTTCCCCTTTTTTCTGGCAACAAAACTGAAACCTTTTTTTACAAGGATTCATGTCTGCATTAACCACAATACCTGCGGTCAAAATGCAAACAAAAAACATACTATGATGATATATGCATTATTCTTGGTTCTTTCGGTAAAGTCACGTAGAAGGGAAACAATAAAATAATAAAAATATTGTTTCCCTTCTACGTGACTTTACCGAAAGAACCAAGAATATGAATCTCTGCAGTCACGAAAGCTTTAAATCAAAATATATGCATTGTCCTTGAAACTGATTGGTCCACACCAAGGGACGGCTTTCTTTTATATATTATCATAGTATGTTTTTTGTTTGCATTTTGACTGCAGGTATTGTGGTTAATGCAGACATGAATCCTTGTAAAAAGGTTTCAGTTTTGTTGCCAGAAAAAAGGGGAAAAACCATATTATTACATTTTAGTTTCGCTTAACACGAAGGCTTTCGCTACCAATATCATACGTGTTTTTTTGTGTTCGATCGCGTAGATATTAACGCGTCGTTGAACACGCCACCTCCCAATTTGTGAGGCTTGTCACGTAAACAGAACGTGCCGATTCGCTACTAGTACAGCACGCCGGTGTGTTGGAGACTAAATGCGCAACATTGGCCGCCACCTGATGATGCGACTTTTAATTACTGGTGCAACGTCACACTATATTCGATGGACAGTTATTTCGGTGAACAGTGGTGGAACGGATTGAAAACGTCAACGGAGGGGCTAACTTTGTTTGTACCGCTCGTCGTCGTTGTTGTTTTTTGTTGTGTCCTTTATTGAACTGAAAAAGCGACGGTTTGGACGAATACGGCCGCGGTAGTTGCCAGGGCGGCGTGCCGGACTCGAACTGCGAAATTCTGGAACGATAGGGGCGGACGCGCAGCCGCAGCGCCGTGCCACCGGCACAGATTGTGTGTTTGCGGTGGTGACGTCCTACTGACCGTGTTATGCTCCGACCATTCTTCGCAGGAATAGGCATCCCTGCATTGTTGATTCCCATGAAAGGCCATTAAAACACGGTCATTTGAATGGCATTTCAACTGCACGCAGGAGAATGTCGAATCCATTGCGACCCCTATTGTCAATCTGGCCGCGCCGACCAGATTTGCTGGTGAGATCTATTGCGCTGCTGTCGGCCGCAAAATAGATCTCGTGGGAAGAGTAGGCCAAATACCCTCCAGGAGCAGCTCTCTTGAGCTCCCCAAAGGCTTTCGTGAAAAAAAGGGCTTCACAGCTCATCAGAGTCCTCCTCCAGCCTAACTAAAGAATCTTCTGATTCTCCAGCGGAGGCGCTTCCACGGGCAGTGGCACGAGCGAGCACTTACGCGGCTGCACCTCCACCAGTTTCTGCCCCTTTGGCTGCAACGGAGTCGCGGCGTGCTTCAGCGGGGGAAAAAAAATAACAACCACAAACACCACGCTCGCGTGAGATGCTCGCCTTGGGGCAAGCGGCCGAAGCTCTACGACGCCTTTCAGCCGGGGGAGATGTCGGAAGAGAGGTTGCGCCTGAAATCAGAGAGAGAGAGAGAGGGGCGACTGCGACCTTCACGCGGCGGTGAATTCGCCAAGGTTGGAGCCCGAACGCCGGTGGAGCGTCTCTCGGTCAGCGCCGCTGTCAAAGAAGCACCTTGGACCGTCGACGTGGATTCAACGCTTTTTTTGCGTGTCGCCGTTCCAAAAAGTCGAGTTTCTTTCGCACTGTACGTAGCCGACCGTGCGGAAATCGGAGGAGCGCCGGACGAAAGCAGAAGCCGAAAACCTGCATTTCTCCAAACGGGAAATCGGACCCGCAATATTATTTTGGACACTGCTGACAAAGGCATTTCCCGGTGTCACCTTGCTCCCCTTTTCTTATCGACGGAACGCGATCGACTTTTTTTTTGTACTTGGAGAAACACGTAAAGTTCCTCGAAATGAAAAAAGGGGGCTCCACACCTCGTACCGCAAACATTACCCGAGGTTTGGTTAACACGCCGGAGGGCACTTGGTGCGCATTCCTCCGTCCGCGAGCAACATCGGAGAAGACGCTGACGACAACGTCGCGTGCAGCTCATCGTTGGCAACGCGGGGGCCGAGCGCGGCGATTAGGTTAGCGTCGGCGCCACTATTCCATTCTCGCAAACGTGCTCGGGAGCGAAGTGCCAATGTCGAGATCTTCCTGCCACCACAAGAGGGCTTTCAGGAGAGAGTTCGCGTGGGTTTTGGCTGTGCCCTCCCTCGTTGAAGGAGCGCAGATTGCGGTGGTTGACTGTACGTTCCCATAGTTCGGGGTTGCAGGGGCACAATCGCACCGCTGTCGCCTGTCTTTAATTCGACGTTCGTGATTGAGGTGTGCGCGCATCGGCCTTTTGATTATGTGGCTGACCATCGAACAAAGGCGGTCGCCGCATCGCGCGTTTTCAGGCGCGCTTCCGTGGCCGTCTGGAACGCTCTTCCTTCCGATGTTAGGAAGCCACTGGAGCTGTGTATTTTTCAATCCGGATGTGAAAACTGATTTGTTTAGAACTCCTTTTTGTGTTCGGTTTGTTGTCCCTCCCCCCGCACCTCCGATTACCACGGTTGGTTTTACGTACTGCGCGAAAGAAGTTCAGCATACATAGACAGATTCAGGACGCCATTCAAACTGTTAACACAAGTAAGTGGGCTTTGGTGCAGGGTGACGGCCGACGGGTCAAGAATAATAAGGAACGGCAGCCAAGGGACGTCAAGCATCCGAGAGCACATCCACCGGTAATTTGGCGTTAATAATTCAGCTCGTGCGCAGGAGCTAGGTGGGTTGAAGGGTGCTTTTTGTCTTTGAGGAGGATGAGGACGACGACGCGCAAAGCCAGGAGGCGCGTTGTTTCGCTCTCGGCCGAGGTGTTTATCCTTGACGCCCCCGTTGGTTCCGCCCTGTTCGCCAAGCGCGGGTGGGAGATGGTGGTGGCCCCCTCATAGAGTGAGACGCGCCGTTGAACTTCACAGCGGCACCGCCTGTCACGTGTTTTCGTGTCACCTTAAAAGCAACGAACGTCGCCGGCCGGGCAGAAAACGGACGCCGTGAGCTGGAATCCATCGCGGTGACACCGGGCAGTGACGCCTGTCAGTTGGCCGTCTAACCGAGGAGATGGAGTGATTAAATTAATCTCATGCGTACGTATGTTGAACTTCTTTCGCACCTGTGCGGAGCCAACCGTGCTAATCGGAGGTGCTAGGTGGATTGTCATGCAGCATATCGTGGGCTCAATGAAACCCGATCTTGATATCCAATGCGAAAAAAAAAGGATGTGGTTACTTAGGCCAAATAGGATCGACTCAACTGATTTTGAATGGAAATCGGTGACCTTGCAGGCATTGACATTGATTGTGGCGCGCCAGTTTCACTCTGTCCATTTGTGTGTCGCATCTTGCCGGCGTTATTGATGGGCGATCGAGTTATCCACGTGGCATTTCAGTTGCATTCTCCTCGGACGATTCAAACAGGAATGTCTTGCTGCGCTGGTGTCCGATTGCATGCCTTGACTTGACATTTTAAGGAAACAGTGTATTTGACGCTCATTCAAGTTAGTTATATTCAGCCAAGGCCCATTGAGCCTCCGACGCTCTTGCTGAATAGAGATGCCACAAAGCCACGAGGCCATGATGTCAATGATCGTAAAGTTTCAGGAAGCGGCGTCTTTAAATGTCATTTGCTTGCCCTCGTTTAAGAAGACACACGAATGTTTGACTTTATGTGAGGCAAGTGAGTAATCCTTGCCCGTCACATTTACGTTGCTCAAACATTTGATAGAGACGCGGGCTGTTGGTCATTTATGGCGTGGATGGCGAGCGTGCCACACATCTTGTGTGTCGCACGAATGCATGTCGATAATAGCGGCCACCACGATTGGTTTACTGACTGGCGACTCATTCCTTTACTGACTCCCATTACGACTCATTCCTTTACTGATCCCATTACAACTTATTCCTTTACTGACTCCCATTACGACTCATTCATTTACTGACTCCCATTACAACTCATTCCTTTACTGACTCCCATTACGACTCATTCCTTTACTGACCCCATTACGACTCATTCATTTACTGACTCCCATTACAACTCATTCCTTTACTGACTCCCATTATGACTCATTCCTTTACTGACTGCCATTACAACTCATTCCTTTACTGACTCCCATTACAACTCATTCCTTTACTGACTCCCATTTCAGCTCATTCCTTTACTGACCCAATTACAACTCATTCCTTTACTGACTCCCATTACGACTCATTCCTTTACTGACTCCCATTGCAACTCATTCCTTTACTGACCCAATTACAACTCATTCCTTTACTGACCCCATTACGACTCATTCCTTTACTGACTCCCATTGCAACTCATTCCTTTACTGACCCAATTACAACTCATTCCTTTACTGACTCCCATTACAACTCATTCCTTTACTGACTCTCATTACAACTCAATCCTTTACTGACTCCCATTACGACTCATTCCTTTACTGACTCCCATTACGTCTCATTCCTTTACTGACGCCCATTACATCTCATTCATTTACCGACTCACATTACATCTCACCGGGGGTCGATAAAATAAGTTCGACTTCGCGCGCCTCGGGGTTTCCGCAAACGCGAGAGGAGCCTTCAACGCTCGTCGCCCATCCAACGGCTTCGCTCGTGGCTTGCCGTTGCTGTCGGTGCCTTTGCAGGGCTACGCGAACCAGTTCGGGAGCCCAGAGCTGGAGTCGCTCATCCCGGCCCAGCTGCGACACAAGACGGAGGCCCTTTTCGGCAACCTGCCGGAAATCTACTCCTTCCACAACAGGTTTGAGAGCGCACGGCTCGGCAGCCAGAGGGAGGCTCGAATGCGGTCGTGCCCCCGGCAAGCTCGCGCGACAGCTGTCGAATCCGCGCCGGCGACTCGCTCACCAGCGGGCAATCGCCTCCTCATCACTCTTCTATCGCTGCCACTGCCGTCGTTTACGCTTCCCATGAACGTCCGCAAATTGATTCCTCCGCCCGCGTTGAGGACTCAATCTCCGCGTATGTGCATTTTGTACAGTGAACTTCTTTCGCACCGTACGTAGCCAACCGTGCTCATCGGAGGTGCGGGGGAAGGAGAGTGAGACAGTGATTCTACCACTGTGTTCAACCACCACACTGCAGGTCACAATGACTCACCCATTCACTCACCGACTCATCACACTGGAGGTCACAATGACTCACCCATTCACTCACCAACTCATCACACTGCAGGTCACAACAACTCACCCACCCATTCACTCACTGACTCATCACACTGCAGGTCACAACAACTCACCCACCCACTCACTCACTGACTCATCACACTGCAGGTCACAACAACTCACCCACCCATTCACGCACTGACTCATCACACTGCAGGTCACAACAACTCACTCACCCACTCACTCACTGACTCATCACACTGCAGGTCACAATGCCTCACTCATTCATTCACCGACTCATAACACTGCAGGTCACAACAACTCACCCACCCACTCATCGACTCATCACACTGCAGGTCACAACAACTCACCCACCCACTCACCGACCCATCCCACTGTAGGTCACAACAACTCACCCACCCACTCACTCACCGACTCATCACACTGCAGGTCACAACAACTCACCCATCCACTCACTCACCGACCCATCACACTGCAGGTTACAACAACTCACCCACCCACTCACTCACCGACTCATCACACTGCAGGTCACAACAACTTACCCACCCACTCACTCACCAACTCATCACACTGCAGGTCACAACAACTCACCCACCCACTCACTCACCGACCCATCACACTGCAGGTCACAACAACTCACTCACCCACTCACTCATCGACCCATCACACTGCAGGTCACAACAACTCACCCACCCACTCACTCACCGACCCATCACACTGGAGGTCACAACAACTCACCCACCCACTCACTCACCGACCCATCACACTGCAGGTCACAACAACTCACCCACCCACTCACTCACCGACCCATCACACTGGAGGTCACAACAACTCACCCACCCTACTCTCGGAGCGCTGCTCACATACTCCGAAATCTCACCGGAGTTTAGTCAATCGGCAGGACGTGTGGTGAAGTCAAAGTGTGGGTACTCCCACCTCTTTCAACCAAGCTTTGGGAACAGGTGCCAGTAAAGTAGGCCAAGTAGCCCTCTATGAGGGCTCTCTAGAGCTCCCTCTGGTGGAGGTCCTTCTACCGGCAGCGGCCGAGCAAACAATTGCACGGCACGTAACTTTCCACCCCCCCACCCCCCCCCCCCACCAGTTATATGTATGACACGGGGCTTTTGTAAACCACGCATCGGACCCCAAGGAGGCAACGTGAGCGTGACACGGTGGCGCTGCTGCCTGCTGGGGAAATCTCTCCTCGGCGAGAGAAATTAAATTTGGATCATCCCCAAACGCTTCTGCTGCGTCGCTTGCCCAACGCGTCATGTCCGAGCCACTTCGCGCGTTCACGCCACCGTTGGCAAGTAGCAGCGGCGTGCAATGATAAATTCGCACTGACATTGCATTCAGAAATACCGAGTCATCTCGAGCACACGAGCACGCGCGTGTAATTGCGTGCGTCCGTGCGCTAGTAATTCACAGGCGTCGGGGAGTGGCGGTGCAGCGGTTAGCGCTGCGATGCGCGACGAACCCGGCCGCCCGGGTTCGATTCCCGCTCACGGCCAACACCGGTGACGATTAGCTGAACCGGTCCTGGGCCCTCCCCTAGGTCGACTCAACCTCAAATGAGTACCTTTGTGCGGTGTGTAAACATCGCCACTGGGGAGACAAAGGCGGTCGGGCGTGGTGTTGGCCACCCACCCCCTCGTGTGCCGTGCTGATCTTCATAGGTGCTACTCGCTAACAGCACTTGCCCCAACAGTCTGTTGAGGCTCCACGGGGGATCTTTGTCTTTGTCCCCGCGGGTGTTGGGGAGTGGTGGAGCAGTGGTTAGCGTGCTGCGCTATGAACCCGGCCACCCGAGTTCGATTCCCACTCACGACCAATAACAGTGGCAGTGAATATTTGAACCAGTTATGGACCTCCCCTAGGTCGACTCAGCCTTAAATTCGTATCTGGTGCGGTGTGTAAACGTCAGCACTGAGGAGTCAAGCAGCCGGGCGTCGTATTGGCAACCCTATCCCCTCGCGTGCCATGCCATTCTTAATAGGTGCTCGCCAACAGCACTTGCCACAACAGTCTGTTAAATGCTCCATGTTTTTTTTGTCTTTGTGTGTGTGTGTCATTGTCAGTGTGTGTTAGTGCGAGTGAGTGTCACTCCTATATTGCTGAGGTCTGTGGGACGTTGAATTCCACCAATGCCATGAACAAGGCAGAATGCATCATCAGCACCTAGTGTGTTTATGTGGGTTCATCTGCCAGGGCGAGCGGTGGTGCAGCAGTTAGCGCACTGCGCTACGAACCCGCTGACCCGAGTTCGAGTCTCGCTCACGGCCAACACCAGTGACGATTGTCTGAACTGGTCCTGGGCCTCCTCGCCTAGGTGGACTCAACCTCAAATGAGTACCTGGGTGCGGTGTGTAAACGTCGCCACTCGGGAGACAAAGGTGGCCAGGCGTGGTGGTGGCCCACTCACCCCCTCGCGCACCGTGCCAGGCCTTCATAGGTGCTCGCTAACAGCATACTTCCATTTATGTTGGTATAGCCCTGTGAGCCATTCGGCTCTTGAATCGGGTGCAACTGCAACAAACAAAAAACTAAAACATGAACAAGAAAACATCTTAAAGTGACTATGTGACTGTGCAAACAGAAAATCCAGGAAAAAAACCCATCTAAATATTCCTGAAATAGCACCGTACACCAACACTGTGTGCAAAAATCCCAGTGGGAAGCAAGTCAAACAACAACAACCACAAGACAACTCAGATTAAGGCCATCAGTCTAACTCCGTACTACAATAAACAAAAACATGGCCAAACCAAAACACTTTTAGAAATCACCAAAATAAAGCCATAAATGCAATGTAACAGTGATCATAGAGGGACAGTGACCGAATTTTTTACACTAAACTACATAAATAACATGTAACACCAAACCCTAGAGCCATAGCTGGCTGCATGAGTCACTCCACAACAACAAAAATTCTGTTCCAAGGCCCCAAAAGTCTGTTCAAGGCTATAGGGGTGATCTTTGTCTTTGGTGCATCTACCCGTCATCTCAGTGAGTCATCCCCATGGCAACCTGGCTCTGTGCCGTGGCGTCCTGCCAGCGGGCCTTCGTCACTTCACGACGGCCTCAAAGCGCATGGCACAAGCGTCGTGGTGACATCACCGTGACTTCGTGGCGAACGGCGGAGGCTGTTTGTTGTTGTTGTTTTTGGGTGTTGGACCGGTCGGGGAGGCTGACCTCCGTCTCCCCGCTCCGTTGAGATCCGAGGCAACCACAACGAGAAGGCTCACAACACCGTGCACCCCTCTCCGCGCTCGCAGGGACGACACGACAAGGTTTATTGACTACTGGCGATTTATTCTCCGATTAACGAAGCTAAACCACCCGTGTCAGTGTGGGCCAGCAGGGCAGGTCTAACCTCTCTCCCGGCGGTCTAGGACTCAATCTGTCCCGTCTCTCCCTACTCACTCTCCCTAAGGGATATTCCCCTTTGTCTCACCTCTCTCCTCCGTACTTACGATGCGATCTCGAGGTGTAGGAAGCCGCGGAGAGGCGAGGCTGCCCGTGGCTTTTGCTGGGAACCGGGACCTGGCTGCTCTGCGGCTCGTCTCACGGACGTTCCAGTAGCAGGGGCACGATGACCCCTCCGATCCCTCACTCCAGAAGAACCCGAACGAAAGAGGCTCCGCCCCTAACTTCCCTCCCTTTTTATCGCCCCTACGTCAAATATACCGTGCCGCTAATCCGCTGGCCTCTCGTCCAATCCGGAGCCTCGGATTTCCCGCTCCTGGCTAATCGCTTGCGCTCCTCCGCCGCTCGCTACTCCGCCCCACCTGCCTGCCGACCCGTGTCGAGTGTTGAGGCGCTCTATCCGCGGTGGCTCAGCAGCCCCCGTCGTGACCACGTGATTACAACCCAGGTCACGGCGCCACAGTGCGAGCGAGCCTCGGGGGAGGTCGCCCAGTTCCCTCGTCGCAAGGAAACCGTGAAGATTGGTCCCATCAGAGGGCTTCTGGGTGAAAACCTGTCGGCCAGGTGACCTCCCCTCGGGGCTCTATGTGTGGGTGTGTGTTCATGTGGTGGTGTGTTTGTGTGTTCATGTGGGGGCTCTATGTGTGTGTTCATGTGGGGGCTCTATGTGTGTGTTCATGTGGGGCCTCTGTGTGTGTGTGTTCATGTGGGGGCTCTATGTGTGTGTGTGTTCATGTGTTGGCTCTATGTGTGTGTGTTCATGTGGGGGCTCTATGTGTGTGTGTGTGGGAGCGATAGTGTAGCGGTTAGCGCGCTGCGCTATGAACCTGGCGACCCGGGTTCGATTCCCGCTCACGGCTAACACCACCAGTGACGATTATTTGAACCGGTCCCGGGCCTCCCCTAGGTCGACTCAGCCTCAAATGAGTACCTGGTGCGGTGTGTAAACATTGCCACTTGGGAGACAAAGGCGGTCGGGCGTGGTGCTGGCCACCCACCCCCTCATGTACCGTTCCGGCCTTCATAGGTGCTCGCTAACAGCACTTGCCCTTACAGTCTGTTAAGGCTATATGGGGGATCTTTGTTCATGTGGGGGCTCTATGTGTGTTCACGTGGGGGCTCTATGTGTGTGTGTTCATATGGGGGCTCTATGTGTGTGTGTTCATGTGGGGGCTCTATGTGTGTGTGTGTGTTCATGTGGGGGCTCTATGTGGGGGTGTGTGTGTTCATGTGGGAGCTCTATGTGTGTGTGTGTTCATGTGGGGGCTCTATGTGTGTGTGTGTTCATGTGGGGGCTCTATGTGGGGGTGTGTTCATGTGTGGGCTCTCTGTGTGTGTGTTCATGTGGGGGCTCTATGTGTGTGTTCATGTGGGGGCTCTGCTGCTGAGACTGGAGCGTGCCACTAAGAGGTGGGGCCTTACCATCAGCCCCACCAAAACTAAGCACCTGCCTGGGTATTTTGTACCATCGGACACTCCACCCCCACAACTCCCAATCGGTGATGGGGCAGTTGTGGAGAGAGTGGAGAGTTTCCCATACCTGGGCAGTGTGCTTATGACTGGCTCCAGTTTAACAGCAGAGGTCTCACTCCGAATCAGTCGAGCGGCAATATCTTTTCATCGGTTGCGTAACGCTGTGTGGAAGCTACCTGGTCTGTCGCTCCGCACTAAGCTTCAGGTCTTCTCGGCCACGGTCATTCCCTCCCTTCTCTACGCTTGCGAAACGTGGACCCCCCTAATGGAACATCTTCGCCGGTTAGAAACATTTAGGCTGGCCTGCCTACGATCCATCCTGGGTTTAACCAGACTGGATTGTGTGAGGAGCTCACAAATCCTTGAAAGATCTGGGCAGGGTCCCATCGGTGAGCTCCTCTGGCAGGCAAGGCTGCGATGGCTGGGTCATGTAGCCCGCATGCCCAGCCACCGCATGCCGAAACAGCTTTTGTTTGGCCGGATTGAGGGGGCTAAGCGGGCGCGGCACGGGCTAGAGAAGAGATGGAGTGATGTGGTACAGGAGGACGTGGAGCTGAGTGGACTTGCCGATGACTGGTACCAGCGGTGTCAAGATCGGCCTCTGTGGAGGAGGCTCGTGAAGGATGCTACTGGGCAGTTGGAGGCAGTCGCCCTCCAACAACAACGGAGGGCGGAGGAGCGACGCTCACAACAGCGAGCGGAGCGCCGGGTGGCTAAAGCACAGCAGGTTGGCACAGTAGGGGGCACAGGTGGTGCATCAGCCAGTCATCTCAGTCAGTCGACCCGTGGCACCTGGGTCTGCCCCGTGACCTCCTGCCAGCGGGCGTTCGACACTTCACGTGGCCTCAGGGTGCACATAGCCTGGCACAAGCGTCGTGGTGACGTCACCGCCACTTAGTGGCGAATGGCGGTTGTTGTTGTTGTTGCTCTATGTGTGTGTGTTCATGTGTCGGCTCTATGTGTGTGTGTTCATGTGGGGGCTCTGTGTGTGTGTTCATGTGTTGGCTCTATGTGTGTGTTCATGTGTGGGCTCTATGTGTGTGTGTGTTCATGTGTGGGCTCTATGTGTGTGTTCATGTGTGGGCTCTATGTGTGTGTGTGTTCATGTGTGGGCTCTATGTGTGTGTTCATGTGGGGGCTCTGTGTGTGTTCATGTGGGGCTCTATGTGTGTGTTCATGTGTGGGCTCTATGTGTGTGTGTGTGTTCATGTGTGGGCTGTATGTGTGTGTTCATGTGGGGGCTCTATGTGTGTGTTCATGTGTGGGCTCTATGTGTGTGTTCATGTGGGGGCTCTATGTGTGTGTGTTCATGTGTGGGGGGGTGGGGGAAGCGCTGTGACGGAAGCCGGGCGGCCCCAGGCACGGCTCCCACGGAGCGGCTTCGCTGTTGTGGCACCACAGACCATCACCACCACCACGTGACCCCAAGTCTGTTGAAGGCAACAGGATGGATTGTTATCCTTGTTGACATATTGCTTTGACAGTGGTGGGTAAACACTCAAGGGGCCGTCCATAAATGACGTCACGCACCTCGGGGGGGGGGGGGGGTCAGACATTCGTGACGATGTGTGACAAGGGGGGGGGGGGGGTGAGAAATATGACGTCACATCAAAATGCGCAACTTTAAATATAGAAAGCACGTTCTACTTATCACACTCTGATGTTGCGCACTGCAATGACAATAATTTAAAGCGATTTGAAGCATGTGTTTTTTGGGGGGGGGGGGGCAGAGCTTTGTGACGTCATATTTCAGGGGGGGGGGTCTGACTTTTTGTGACGCCGTGTGACGAAAAGGGGGGTTCAAAAATCCTTCCAAAATCGCGTGACGTCATTCATGGATGCCCCCCCCCCCCCCCCCCCAAGTAACAAAAGCCAATGATGCTAAAAGGCAACGCATTTAATTCGCCGACCTGTTTGGGAATTGGCCCTTCTTGAAGGTGTGCTGTGAAGAAAGGCCGTTTCTCACCCACCCTGTTAGGGCAGCGTTGTTAGTGCCTGACGCGTTCCTCGTCGTCGTCCGCTCTGTGTGCGCGTGTACTCGACGTGAAATTGTTTTGTTAGTAATTGCTGGGCATTTGAAGCCACCCCTCGAGAGGTGCGCGTTTGGACTGTACCATTACTCCAGGGCTCAGCTGAAACGCTGGCTGTCACTGAAACGCTCCAGCTAACCACGCCCCCCTTCCCCACCCCCTCCCCCATAACCTGAAAATGAAACGATGGCACAGTCCAAAGCACGTGGTCACGCCTACGTGTGTTCCAGCTGACTTTTGTGACACATCATACCACAGTACACAGTCATCAAAAGCCATGGCCAATTCACTGCTGGATGAAGGCCTTCCCAAGCCATTTGTGTTTAGTTTGTTGTCCTCTACCCCACCCTGCGCCTCCAATTAGCACGGTTGGCTACGTACGGTGTGAAAGAAGTTCAACATACAAACACACATACACCGCATCTCCAATTAGCACGGTTGGCTCCGTACGGTGTGAAAGAAGTTCAACATACAAACACACATACACCGCACCTCAAATTAGCAAGGTTGGCTACGTACGGTGTGAAAGAAGTTCAACATACAAACACACATACACCGCACCTCAAATTAGTACGGTTGGCTACGTACGGTGTGAAAGAAGTTCAACATACAGTAAAACTTTGGATTGCGAGTAACTTGGTCTGCGAGTGTTTTGCAAGACGATAAAATTTTTTAATTAAATAAATATTAATTTGATAAACGAGCGAGGGTCTTGCAATACGAGTAGTGTACGTACACGCTTTGTCTGCCGAGCGTCACGTGATCACAACTGATATGCGAGTGCTTTGATATACGAGTGCTTTGGATTACAAACACGTTTCCGGAACGAATTATGCTCGCAATCCAAGGTTTTACTGGACATCACCATCTCTCACAGTTCTGCGGAGTAATGATCTGTTCGGCGCCCGCGTACGAATTGATTTCATTTTGCTCCATCTCCTCCATGGGCGTACCCGTTAAACTCGTTCCAAACCTTGGCTGCCAATCGATCATCATTATTGGGTTGGCGTGGTGACGAAATGTTTACTACCTCGCCTGGTATGCAGGAAGGCGTGGGTTTGATCCTGACCCTGACGCCTGCCTGCTCTATATTTGGAGTTTGCGTGTCTTTCTCCCCGTGGTCACGTGGATTTAGTCTCGGGCTCCTGCGACGTCACCCTCCACATTTAGACTCGACGCGCCTTTAGAGTATTTGGCTGCTGCTATACATGTCCACGCGGTAAGCCACTTCGTTGAGCTATCATTTGTGGCCAGGTCGCTTCTGAAATAGAGCTGCGTAGCTCACCGGGCCTTTCCTGGTGAAATTGAAAAAAATAGTTTAGTTTATTATTCATGGAAAGAGGCCATCGTACATTCTGCCGATGCTTCCTGCCCAAGCCCCCTTTACGTCTGTTTAACGCGTCGGCTTTCTCGAGCAATGTCAATCCATAAGAGGTTTTTGGGTTAGATCGCGTACATATCTAAATGTTGTGTCGTTGAAACCCCTTACATCTTTTAATAGTCTGGATGACGTCAATAAGCTGCACATGTTATCGAATACATGTGTTCTTCTTTCTGTCCCTAAGCGTGCATCTCTCCCACGCATACTTTGCCCGCGTGTACTGCAGGCAAGCTGCTAACCAGCCACACAAACTGGTTTGCCAAAGTTGTTCATTTTTCTAATTATAAAAAAAAATACGTATATAAAGGGGAAGCGTTCATGAACGGTCTTGATACATTCCGAAGATATCGATTCTGACATGCGTTGTTCAATGCGTGCAACGTACACATCGCTTTTAAATCTACGCTCCCGGACGGTGACGACGATGAAAGCCGCGGCGCCGTCCGCTCGTCCGGACTTGTGTGCGACGAAGAGCTTCGTCGCTCGTCGGGTTTCTCCCAGGCTACATCAAGATTACGATTCTGTCTCTTTGCAGCGTGTTCTTGCGCGAGCTGGAAGCGTACGTTGACCAACCGGAGCTCATCGGAAGGTGCTTCCTTCAAAGAGTGAGTGCAATGGGGGGGGGGGGGGGGGGGGGAGGCAGTACAGACAGTGGGGCTGCTGGCCAGTTTGTACGGCCGATTTTTGATCGATTACCTCCTCGTTAGGTGTGGCTTCTCTCCAGTTGGTGGAGTTCCTTCCCACTCGGCCAAGTGGCTCAAAGAGCGGGGAGAATGGGGGTGCCACGGTGGCGTAGATGTTAACTACCTCGCCGGGTATGCAAGAGGTCGTGGGTTCGATCCCGACCCCAGATGCCGGCGTATTTGGAGACTGTGTGTTCGACTGAAATCGTGAAAAATGTCATTGCCCGTAATGTCAGCCTATTAATTAGCACCCATTTTTATTTACGTGTGCAGCATGCTTATAACGCATTTCTTATCACGCGGCGTCGATGGCAATCGTGTGAGAGTGTGGGGTGTTTTTTGTTGTTGTTGTTGTTGATTTTGAGCTTTTTCTTCTCCTTCTGATCCATTCCCAACGCAGAAAGAAGACTTCCAGATTTACGAGAAGTACTGCCAGAACAAGCCCCGCTCGGAGGCCGTGTGGAGGCAGTTCGCCGATGCCGCTTTCTTCCAGGTGCCTACGCTACGAGCACCGGCATCACCGTGGCCCACATTCGCTCCTCGCCTTCCCCTCGCAGCAGCCGCAGCAGCAGCTGCAGCAGCAGCCGCAGCAGCAGCAGCCGCAGCAGCCGCAGCAGAAGCAGCAGGAGCAGCAGCAGCAGGAGCAGCAGCCGCAGCAGCAGCAGCAGCAGAAGCAGCAGCAGCAGCCACAGCAGCCACAGCAGCCACAGCAGCCACAGCAGCAGCAGCAAAAGCAGCAGCAGCAGCAGCAGCAGCCGCTTGTGGCTAAGCCATCGAACAGAGGCGGTGGCCACCGCATCGGGCGCTTTGAGACGCGCTTCTGTGGCCGTCTGGAACGCTCGTCATTCCGATATTAGGAGGCCACTGGAGCGTCTAGATTGAGAACTCTTTTTATTTAAAACTGCTTTTTGTGTTTAGTTCGTGTTAATCTCCGATTAGCACGGTTGGCTATGTACAGTGCGAAAGAAGTTCAATATATATAACATACATACAGTTAGATTTCTCCACAAATGTGGCTATCGCCTGATGCAGCTAGTTGTAATTCCTGGCAAAACGTCGTACTCAGATTGTAAATGATGTGGCTTGGCTCTCCAACACACCGGTTAGTGCTGTGCAAGTGACGAATTGGCCACGTTCTGTTTACGTGACAACCCTTACTAGTTGGCTGTGTCGGGTGGTGGCGGGTTTAAACGCCATAATTATTTATTTATTTACGCGATCTAACCCAAAAAAAACACTATTATGGATACATACATTCCCAATGCTCTTGTCACGATCGGCGTGATCTGATGGCCCACTGCCACGCGACTCCTTCCACTTTGACATGGCCCGCAAAACAATATTTGTCCGTCCACTTGCAAGAATCTTGGCCGCACCCAATTGGGTGGCAGAGGAGGCAACGTCATGAGGCCTGCCCACCGTCGTCGCTGTGTTCCCAATGGCAAGGAGCTCAAGTCACTTCTGTTACGCCTCTTTATTTTCCAGGGGCACCACGGTGACGAGATGTTAACTACCTCGCCCGGTATGCAGGGGGTCGTGGTTTCGATCCCGACCCTGAGTTTGCGTGTCTCTCTGTCTCATCCGTGGTAGCGTAGAATTTTTTTTTTCCGGTTCCTCCGGTTTTTCCCTCCACATTTAGAATGAGTATTTTTGCCGCGATAGATTTTGCACGCGATAAGCCGCCTCGTTGAGCAATTATTTACGGCCAGGTCACTTCTGAAAAATAGCTACAGACAGTGAGGGAAAAAAATATTTGATCCCCTGCTGATTTTGCACGTTTTCCCACTGACAAAGAAATGATCAGTCTATAATTTCAATGGTAGGTTCATTTGAACAGTGAGAGACAGAATAACAACAAAAAAATCCGGAAAAACGCATGTCAAAAATGTTATAAATTGATTTGCATTTTAATGAAGGAAATGAGTAGTTGACCCCTCTGCAAAACATGACTTAGTACTTGGTGGAAAAACCCTTGTTGGCAATCACAGAGGTCAGACGTTTCTTGTAGTTGGCCACCAGGTATGCACACATCTCAGGTAGGATTTTGTCCCACTCCTCTTTGCAGATCTTCTCCAAATCATTAATGTTTCGAGGCTGACGTTTGGCAACTCGAACCTTCAGCTCCCTCCACAGATTTTTTATGATATTAAGGTCTGGAGACTGGCTAAGCCACTCCAGGACTATAATGTGCTTCTTCTTGAGCCACTCCTTTGTTGCCTTAGCCGTGTGTTTTGGGTCATTGTCATGCTGGAATACCCATCCACGACCCATTTTCAATGCCCTGGCTGAGGGAAGGAGGTTCTCACCCAAGATTTGACGGTACATGGCCCCGTCCATCGTCCCTTTGATGCGGTGAAGTTGTCCTGTCCTCTAAGCAGAAAAACACCCCCAAAGCATAATGTTTCCACCTCCATGTTTGACGGTGGGGATGGTGTTCTTGGGGTCATAGGCAGTATTCCTCCTCCTCCAAACACGGCGAGTTGAGTTGATGCCAAAGAGCTCCATTTTGGTCTCATCTGACGACAACACTTTCACCCAGTTGTCCTCTGAATCATTCAGATGTTCATTGGCAAACTTCAGATGAGCATGTATATGTGCTTTCTTGAGCAGGGGGACCTTGCGGGCGCTGCAGGATTTCAGTCCTTCACGGCGTAGTGTGTTACCAATTGTTTTCTTGGTGACTATGGTCCCAGCTGCCTTGAGATCATTGACAAGATCCTCCCGTGTAGTTCTGGGCTGATTCCTCACCGTTCGCATGATCATTGCAACTCCACGAGGTGAGATCTTGCATGGAGCCCCAGGCCGAGGGAGATTGACAGTTCTTTTGTGTTTCTTCCATTTGCGAATAATCGCACCAACTGTTGTCACCTTCTCACCAAGTTGCTTGGCAATGGTGTTGTAGCCCATTCCAGCCTTGTGTAGGTCTACAATCTTGTCCCTGATGTCATTGGAGAGCTCTTTGGTCTTGGCCATGGTGGAGAGTTTGGAATCTGATTGATTACTTCTATGGACAGGAGTCTTTTATACAGGTAACAAGCTGAGATTAGGAGTACTCCCTTTAATAGTGTGCTCCTAATCTCAGCTCGTTACCTGTATAAAAGACACCTGGGAGCCAGAAATCTTTCTGATTGAGAGGGGGTCAAATACTTATTTACCTAATTAAAATGCAAATCAATTAATAACATTTTTGACGTGCGTTTTTCTGGATTGTTTTGTTGTTATTCCGTCTCTCACTGTTCAAATAAACCTACCATTAAAATTATAGACTGATCATTTCCTTGTCAGTGGGCAAACGTACAGGGGATCAAATACTTTTTTCCCCTCACTGTAGCTCAGTGGGCCTTATCTGTTCAAATAAAAAAAAACACTTGGAGACCGACAACTCGTAGCGCGGCCGATGCTTCCGCTTAAGGGCTGGCCTCTCATTCCACCAGCGCGCAGGAAAATGCTGCTACCCACCACTCTCCGCAGCCGTCATTGTCCGCTGTGGACGGCCGAAGAGAGGATGGAGAAGAAGATATTGAAACGACACGCACATTTTCGTCCCTTCTCAATGTTATTGGATGCTGACACGCGCCGGACCACACTTGAGAATTAGATCGCGCCATTTTGTTTCGCCCGCTGCGAAGCCGTTTGCTCCGTACGTTTAAACGCTTCGTGCGCACACACGCGGAATTAACCGGCGCGGCCACTGGCTTCGAACCGTGCATCTCTGCGACAAGTGGCGAACACGGCGCCGCTAGGTTGTGTCACCCGCATATGAAAAAAAAAGTTATCCCACTTGGCTAACGGTCCACTTGAGCCCCTCGGACGTCTCCTGGGTCGCGTTGCACGAGGCTTGCAACTCGGTTCATTTGTTCGATGCATTTTCCGTTCAGGAGTGTCAGCGCCGCTTGGACCACAAGCTCGCCCTGGACTCGTACCTCCTGAAGCCGGTGCAAAGGATCACCAAGTACCAGCTCCTGCTCAAGGTGCCGTATCCCTCGCATCGACTCGCGTCCACTGCCACGGAAGTCCGCGATCTGTCGTTGACTCGCGTCCTGCCGTAACACCCTGCAACGGGGCTCGAAATCATTTTTTGTCTAGGCTCCGTCCGTCTGTCCCGTCCGTGACGGGGAGGAGCATCCTGGCCCTTGCGCAGGTGTTCCAATTGTGAGAGAAGAAAAACACTTCAGTATGAAGTTGTGTGGGCGTAGAAAAGATACCTTGAAAATATGCAAACTCGTAATGCCCTGGGCCGCTACCTCCCCGGGGCATCCGTACTGCCAGTTGGATACTTCTGAGGAGCATTAAATAATCCGCGCATGATTTTTCTTGCTTATCTTGTAAAGCAAGATGCAAATAATCAAAACAAAATCGAACGGCTCTTGTAGATGCATCAATGGAAAAAGAGCTTGATAGCGCATCGGATTCCTCCAGTATAAATAAATATTCTGATTTTGAAATATTCTGAGATTCATGCGGACTTCGTTTTGCATTCAACTGCCTTTCCTGAATGAGATGAGAGAGGTGCCAGGCCAGTGAACTGAAACCTGTGGAGTCGGTGCTCAAAACAGAACGGCCTTCATGTTTTGGGGAAACACTCTTAGATCACAAGTGTAAACAAATCAACTGACAAAAAGCAGAGCAGTCATAAACTGTTAAATGGGAGCCCATCTGGAGGGTTCTTTGACCTACCCTTCCACGCCGGACGGATGTCTCGGAATAGGTGGGAGCACCCACGCTTTACCCCACCACACGCCACCCACCGACCGACTCGCTCGCTGGCGGGACCCATCCGTACCGCCACCACTGGGTAGACCAGAAGTGGGCAAAGTACGGCCCGTTGGGCTTCTTAATCCGGCCCGACGAACTTGTCCAAATATTTGTATTATTAAATTAAAATTTCCCCTTCTCCTGTAATGCCCCCATTTCCCCATTAGATGGCGCACTTTGACCGGGAGTTACGACATGTTTTTGTATTGTTCATGTTCGTGAAATGTGTTAACTTGCCTTGCAAATAAATGCTTTGCTACCTGTTAAAGGCCAAATCCTTTCATGTTATGATTTTTACATGTCATTTATATTAGTTTACACAAACACTCCATCCATCTGTTCCTGGCCCGGCCCCTCTGTCAAATTTTAGAACCCATTGTGGCCCGCGAGTCAAAAAATTTGCCCACCCCTGGGGTAGACAGACGCGAGGGACATTCAACAAACAAAAATAAAAACCGGCGACCCCCGGATTACGACTCCGTTGTGCTCATCGTTACGGCACGGGTCAGCGTCCGCGTGCAAGTGCGCGCCCGTTCTCCGATAAAGAGTTCGGGCTCGTCTCTGTCTACGGTTCTACCCCGGCGCCACGCTGTTAGACAACCCACCACCCCCAGCGGGTGACCGGACAGCCTCTGCCCTCTGTCCGCTGCGCTCCAAGGGGCCTCTCTCTCTCTGTCCGCGGCGCGCTGTGCAGGAGATGCTCAAGTGCAGCAAGAACTCGGCGGGGACGCAGGAGCTGGAGGAGGCCCTCGCCGGCATGCTGAGCATCCTCAAAGCCGTCAACGACTCCATGCACCAGATCGCCATCACGGGCTTCGAGGTCAAGAGTTCACGCGGTGCCCGCCTGGCTTGACAACAAACAAACCAAAAATTACCTTGGTGAAACCGCTGCTGCTGCCGCCGTTGCTGCTGTTGCTGCTGTTGCTGTTGTTGCTGCTGCTGTTGCTGCTGTTGTTGCTGCTGTTGCTGCTGCTGCTGTTGTTGTTGCTGCTGTTGTTGCTGCTGTTGTTGTTGCTGCTGTTGTTGCTGCTGCTGTTGCTGCTGTTGTTGCTGCTGCTGCTGTTGTTGCTGCTGTTGCTGCTGCTGCTGTTGTTGTTGCTGCTGTTGCTGCTGTTGTTGCTGCTGTTGTTGCTGCTGTTGTTGTTGCTGTTGTTGTTGCTGCTGCTGTTGTTGCTGTTGTTGCTGCTGTTGTTGCTGCTGTTGCTACTGCTGCTGTTGCTGGTGCTGCTGTTGTCGCTGCTGCTGGTGCTGCTGCCTCTGCTGCTGCTGTTGCTGCTGGTGCTATTGCTGCTGCTGGTGCTGCTTCTTCTGCTGTTGCTGCTGTAGCTGCTCTTGTTGCTGCTTTGTTGTTGGCAGCCTTGCACAAGCGCAATTAACAACATACATACATTCAACACGTTCGTCAATAACAACACCGGCCTTAAAAAGGGAGATATATAATAATAATCAATGTGTCGGGTGATGAACCTTCTTCACTGCACGTGAATAAATACATTCATGATTTATGTGCTTATGATGAAGGGCAATTGCCCGAAACGTCGCCTGTTATTCGTTTCATTTTAAGGCCACGCTGCGTAATTGACAAATGTGTCGCGAATTTCTGGCTCTACCTCCGAGCTGGGACAGGGACAATTAGCGGACGAGGTCGATCGCCGGACTTAAAATTGTACTCGGCCACGTGTTTGTGTTTGTCGTCTACTCCATGGACGCGTTCTTTGCCTTCGAACATGAGCAGCGCTGGGTTGAGTGTCTCTCTCACGTGGGCCATCGCTCAATTTTAGTGCAAGAAGCATCGACGACGTTAGGCACGCGATGTACGTTGAACCCAGCGGTGCGGTTACGCGACATTATCAGCTCGGTAAGGTGCGGCAGTCGGTCAGATGGGACCCCCAATATTTGCTTTGTCTCGCCTAGTCGCACCCAGGCGATTATGCGTCACGGTTTCTCTTGCCCTAACCGCATCGTTACGCTCACGGACTCGCCAATTTAACGCTGCAGTGGCGCTCAGACCTTTGCCGAATGCAGCCACAGCAGCTGCATAGCGGCACCTCTTTGCAACATAGCGTGACTGCTCTAATTGAATTAAAATAAAGGGCGGAACGTGACTCGAAGTTCGTTCGTTTCTCCGCCAGCTTGTCCTGGTGAGGGTCGCGGCTGTATGGAAGCATTTTCATAAAACACATTTGGAATTTAAACCGCATTTTAAATAAGTTCGTCGTGTTATTTTTTTACGCTGTTGTTGAACAAATTCTCTCGTGGCCTTCGCCAACTCGTAGCGTTGGCCACCAGGGGAGGCCAACGCACCCCCACCACACACACACACAGACTCGATTCGCTACCGGTTGAACTTGTTTCACACCGTACGGGGCAAACCACGCCAAATGCGGCTGCGGGAGGAAAGACAATTAAAACTAAACAGCAGCATCAACACAAAAACACAAAAAATAAAACCATTACGCATTGGTTGCGGTCTGTCCGCGCGTGTTGTCGCAAGTGCCCCTTTGTGCACACGTAGTGTACACGCCTGCAGTGCGTACATTGGTGACACACACAGAGGAATAATTTTGGCTTCCGAGTTTGCAATCTGTAAAGGTTGAAGGATGCGAGTTTCAGAAACTCTCGGTCCAGAAGGGTTCCCTCGTACGCAGGTGGCAAATAATGCAGAAGTTTCATAATCGTTTATACCGGCGATATATGATTATAATTTTTTTAAACAAAAAATGGTCATGGAACGTTCGTCCATGCTTCAGGAGGGTTCTTCCAGGCTTTCCCAAGAAGGGGCCGATGGTCTCACCCTGTGTGTGTTCCATTCGAGTAATTTGCGGGTACATTTTTAAACGTAGCATAATCGGGCCGTGACGCCAGCACGCGTCGTCCTCCTCTTCGCGAATGACGCCACGTGATCTCTGAACGTCCGCTGTGGAGCGAACGGCGCGTGGTGATTTTATCGGTCGATTCACCCCCGCCGCAGCAGTATTAATCGGGGAGGCCGCTGGGTTCGAACCGTGAACGTCTGGCAACGAGAGGCGAGCGCACGACCGCTGAGCCGCGTCAACGGGCAATCTGATGAACCGCTTCGTTCAGACATCGCGTCTACGGGCTCAATTACTCAAGGCGTTCTTAATGCAACTAGACGAAACAATGTTTTATTTTAGCAGGGACGGCCCCAGATGAGACCTGCGTGTCACAAATGATGGCTCAGCGAAGTGGCTTATCGCGTGGGAATTTTTAGCAGCCAAATGCTCTGCACGCGTGACGTTGATTCTTAATGTGGAGGGCAAAACCGGAGCACCCGGAGAAAAATCCACACGACCGCAGGGAGAACATGCAAACTCCAAATGTGCGGGCGTCAGGGTCGTTATTGGACCCACAACCTCCTGCGTACCAGGCGAGGGAGTTAACATGTCGCTACCGTGGTGAGATGTTAATATCCGTGACACTTGGTACAAGTGCCAAACAACCGACGATACATCCAATGATAATGGCAACGACGGGCTGATCATTCATGACGATTGCATTGGACGAAATATTTAAAAATCTTACTTCACAGCCCTGCGTCAATCCACTGCTGGATGAACCTCCCCATGCCTTATCGGCCATGTGCGTTCTCGTCTAAACGTGCGGTTCAACTATTTTTTGCTGCTTTAAATGTCCAAATGATGAGCCACTTTGTTGAGCTATCATTTGTGGCCAGGTCGCATTTGAAAAATACGTTAATTCCTCGGTGGGGCTGTGTGTGTTTGGGCGATTTGTTTACCTTGTGCTTTGCACTACTATCATGTTTTTTGTAATCGTCTTACCTGCCCCCTGCTGGACATCTGTGGCAAAAAGAGCGGATTCCTCCAGGACGAATCAACATTCTCAGAATATGAATGTCTTACCGGGAGGGATCCGATGAGCTAGGGGGATCTTCCAGGCGTCCAGCGGGTGACCCGCGATCGTTCCGTCCCGCGCCGCCTTATGCGACCTCTTCGAGGGGACGCACCCCTGAACGTGTCCCGTCGTCATCGACGTCGTCGCCCACAGGGAGACGTGCGAGACCTGGGGCGGCTGCTCATGCAGGGGGCGTTCAGCGTGTGGGCCGAGAGCCGCAAGGGTCACAGCAAGGTGAAGGAGCTGGCTCGCTTCAAGCCCATGCAGCGCCACCTTTTCCTCTACCCCAAGCTGCTGCTCTTCTGCAAGCGCCGCGAGGAGACTGGGGAGGGGTACGAGAAGGCGCCCTCCTACAGCTTTAAGCACGCCCTGAAGGTGCGTGCGTGCGTGCGTTCGCGCGCGTGCATTGTTCGCTTGTGGCGAGTGGGGAGCGGCGGCGTCGCGGTTAGCGCGCCGAGATACAGACACCGGCAATTATTTGTATACGTATGTTGTTTTATTATTTGTGTGTGTGTGTGTATATATACGCTTTTAAACGATTTGTTTACCTTTTCTATACTTGGCACTCATATCGTGTTTTGGTATTGTTTGTTGGACATCTGTTAACAAAAAAAAAAGCTTTTGTAGATCATCGTATTCCTCCAGCGCAAAACAAATATATTTATGATTCTGATTCTGAATTTCCGAGTTCGATTTCCGCTCACGGTCCGCACGGCGATGATGTGATGATTATCTGGACCGGTCGTCGATTCGGCCCACAATGAGCAACTGCTGTGATGTGTGAACGTCAGCGCTCGGAAGACTGAAGGTCGTGCAACTGGGCCCCACCGTCACCTCTTGCGCCGTGCTGACCTTCGCAGTCGTTCACAATTACAGAGACAATGAACGTCCGTATATATTCTTTGGGACAGGTGCTGATAGCGAGCACCTATGAAGGCCATCACGGCACAGGATGGCATGGTGTGGCCAGTTCCACGCCTGGCTAAATGACAGGTCTTCTGTATGCACAGTAAACCCTTGTTAATTCGACACATTTATGGGGCTCTGGCCTTGCCGAATTATCCAATATTCCGAATTATGTACAATAGTTGTCCCCAGTGCCTCCTGCCCCCCAAAAAAGTAACGCTTACCATGAGTAACCAACACAAGCAGGCGAAGAAGGAGGATGTGGTAGGTTCCACGTGGTAGGTGACAGAGGTTGTGGAGTGGGGCCTTAATGCACTTAGTATGCACTGGCTGTACTTGTATGTTCACTTTATCACTAAATGATAAAGTGAACATTCGGTATGGCAATTCGGCTCATGGCGAATTACTAATGCACAGTATCTGCCGAAAGCCCAGCCGTGCCGAATTATCCCCAATTGCGAATGATCAAATACCGAAATAACGAGGTTCAACTGCGTGCCGAGCTTCTTTTGCGCCGTACATAGCCAACGGTGCTCACTGTAGGTGCGGGGCAAGGACGTATAAGCGTCCACCGAGGGTGACTCCGTGACGAGAGATGAGTTCGTGCCGCGCCGATTGAAGCGTCGCAGGATTGTGAGAGGCGACGCCGGCTTGGGGGAGGCCTTCATCCGGCAGCGGATTGATCATGGCTGATGGCGATGGTTCAAAACACCGGTGTCCCTTCGCTTCCCCCCCCCCCCCCGCAGATGGATGGAGTGGGCATCACTGAGGTGTCCAAGGGCGATCAGAAGAAATTTGAGGTCAGCTACAATGGGCGTGAGGAGGTCTACACAATACAGGTGAAGGTCCTAACCCTAAAGCACGTGCCACGACCGTCAATAACCGCGTGCAGCTAAATCATCGGCAAGCTTTTTCTTTTACGTTGCGAAAATGGTGTTTGTCTGATCGTTCTTTATTTGGTTTAACACGTAGGCTTTTGCGACCGATATCATTGATGATAGAGGGGGGGGGGGGGGGTTTGGGTTTAGATCGCGTAAATATATAAATGTATCGTACTCAGATTGTAAATGTTGTGGTTTGGCTCTCCGACACACCGGTGTGCTGTACTAGTGACGGATTGGCCACGTTCTTTCTTGATTTGAAGCTTTCGTGACTGCAGGAGTCCATACTCTTTGGTTCTTTCGGTGAAGTCCACGTAGGTAGAAAATAAGATGAAATAAATCACGACGTTTCGGGCGCAACACCAGCGTGCTGCCTCAGCAGCAGGACCACGCTTTCCCACCTGATGATGGACGCTTGAGTTGCGCCCGAAACGTCGTGATTTATTTGATCTTATTTTATACCTACGTGACTTTACCGAAAGAACCAAAGAGTATGGCACGTTCTGTTCACGTGACAACCGTTACCAGTCAGCTGTGTCGGGTGGTGGCGAGTTTAACGACACATTTCTTATATTTACGTGATATAACCCCCAAAAAACCTCTTATGGACGTTCTTTATTTGCTATCCGTAGTCTTTGACAAGTCAGCCTACTGGCTTTGCGGAAAAAAAACAATATTATCCTGCAGCGTTGGATTTAGGCGAGCAAACCATTGACCGATTTCCTCCTTCTGGGTCGCATCAGCAGCCATGCTGGTTGAACAATTGATGCTTCTTTTGCTAGATGCCATTGGCAAGAGCGCCCCATGTCCGTCTCAACGAGTGGGCCATGTTTTGTGTAAAAAGCAGCCGTGGGGCGGTGAGGTCGTCCCAGCGACCACTTGCTGCAGGGGGCTTGCGGTTGAAATCCAGAAGGCCGCCCTGGTTGTTATCACGATGAGTGGATTCACCCACAAGTGTTTGCCGTCTGCGTCGTAGTGGCCTTTAAGGGTCCCTTGATGTAAGTCGCAAGGGGAGGCCATTGTTCGCTGGTACCATGGTTCAAATTCGCCATCTTCAAAAATTACCTGCGTGTCACGGAATTGGGATTACTCGTAGAAATCATCACCAGATTGCAGGCCAGGAACTGAATCTAAACTAAATTAACGTAATTCTACTTTTTTATTTTAGCAGGTAAGGCCCACTGAGCTATGTAGATCTTTTTCAGAATTGGCCTGGCCACAAACGATAGCTCCATTTAAGTGGCTTATTAAGTGGACATTTCTTGCAGCCGAATACTCTGATCGCATGATTCGAAATGCGGAGGGAAAAACCAGAGGACCCGGAGAAAAAGCCACATGACCACAGGGAGGTGGAACACGCAAACTCCAAATATACAGCAGGCGTCTGGGTCGGGATTGAACCCGCGACCTCCTGTATACCAGACGAGGTAGTTAACATCTCAGAGCCACCGTGTTATCCATCACCCTGTGCCCACAAGGTCAGCCTCCACTGGGGGGGGGGGGGGGGGGTGCCATTGCAAATGTTTGAGATGAAAAGAGCGCTCTGAGTTTCCTTGGTCTAGAGAGTGCTATATATTTAAAAAAAATCATAATTACCACGTGTTTTTTTTTATTGCGACTCAACACGAACCAGTACAAAAACACTGGTCACAGTACAGGGGTGAGAAAGGGGAGGGGGGGGCAGAGGGGGGGACAGAAACTCCACGAGCAACAAATCCCAGACCGGGCACATTCGGGCTCTCTGCCCCATGATTCGCATATGTTGTGCAAATGCTGCAGGATAACATCAGTCTGGAAAGCCAATATGTCAACGAATGGAACGTATTTTACTTGATACGTGGTGGCACAGAACTATTGTGGAGGTTACATAATGCTAACACGACGTGAACGTTGGAGTCGGGCACATGATGTCACCGATTTCACCGATGTCACCGATGTCACCGTGGCCTTCTGCCTTCCTTGAAATCGCCACGAGGTTGCGCAAACACAACCACAGTCGTGACGCAAGCTGCTCGTCCAGATAAATCACGCACGCAGACGCAAGTCAGTCACGTCATGTAAGAGCACATTACGTTTACATTTAATCCTGCGGAAGTAATTTTTTTTTTCATTTTTAGCGAAGCGTATATGGCGGTTTATAGGAGCCGCGGATAGTGTACCGTACCCCCCCCCCCGCCCCGCATTGAGATGGAGTTTGGCTGCATTTTCTTTTACCCATCATGCTCCGCAACAACGCGGTGATGAGTTTGTGTACATTTCCGCTCGCACCGTGGCGGATGTGGGGCACGTTGCTCAAGCATATACTGGGTCCCTTGACGAATTATGAAATCTGCTGCCCATTTACGTTTGCATCATCACCATCATCATCATCGCCGCCACGGTCCGTCAGCTTCCGCTGCACGTTTCGTTATTTGCTTCCACTTTCGTCTCAGTCGCGTGCCAGTGTGCTCACGGAGTGTCCACATCTCAGTGGCACCAATCTCTTATGATTCTCTTTGTGGCACCAATTAATTGTCTTTGTGGCACCGAATGTGGTGGCACCAATCTCAGTGGCACCAATCTCTTATGATTCTCTTTGTGGCACCAGTTATCTTTGTGGCACCAAATCTCTTATGATTCTCTTTGTGGCACCAATTATCTGTGTGGCACCAAATCTCTTATGATTCTCTTTGTGGCACCAATTATCTGTGTGGCACCGAATCTCTTATGATTCTCTTTGTGGCACCAATTATCTGTGTGGCACCGAATCTCTTATGATTCTCTTTGTGGCACCAATTATCTGTGTGGCACCAATCTCTTATGATTCTCTTTGTGGCACCAATTATCTGTGTGGCACCGAATCTCTTATGATTCTCTTTGTGGCACCAATTATCTGTGTGGCACCAATCTCTTATGATTCTCTTTGTGGCACCAATTATCTGTGTGGCACCAATCTCTTATGATTCTCTTTGTGGCACCAATTATCTGTGTGGCACCGAATCTCTTATGATTCTCTTTGTGGCACCAATTATCTGTGTGGCACCGAATCTCTTATGATTCTCTTTGTGGCACCAATTATCTGTGTGGCACCAATCTCTTATGATTCTCTTTGTGGCACCAATTATCTGTGTGGCACCAATCTCTTATGATTTCTTTGTGGCACCAATTATCTTTGTGGCACCGAATCTCTTATGATTCTCTTTGTGGCACCAATTATCTGTGTGGCACCGAATCTCTTATGATTATCTTTGTGGCACCGAATCTCTTATGATTCTCTTTGTGGCACCAATTATCTGTGTGGCACCGAATCTCTTATGATTCTCTTTGTGGCACCAATTATCTGTGTGGCACCAATCTCTTATGATTCTCTTTGTGGCACCAATTATCTGTGTGGCACCGAATCTCTTATGATTCTCTTTGTGGCACCGATTATCTGTGTGGCACCGAATCTCTTATGATTCTCTTTGTGGCACCAATTATCTGTGTGGCACCAATCTCTTATGATTCTCTTTGTGGCACCAATTATCTGTGTGGCACCGAATCTCTTATGATTCTCTTTGTGGCACCAATTATCTGTGTGGCACCAATCTCTTATGATTCTCTTTGTGGCACCAATTATCTGTGTGGCACCAAATCTCTTATGATTCTCTTTGTGGCACCAATTATCTGTGTGGCACCAATCTCTTATGATTCTCTTTGTGGCACCAATTATCCGTGTGGCACCGAATCTCTTATGATTCTCTTTGTGGCACCAATTATCTGTGTGGCACCAATCTCTTATGATTCTCTTTGTGGCACCAATTATCTTTGTGGCACCGAATCTCTTATGATTCTCTTTGTGGCACCAATTATCTGTGTGGCACCGAATCTCTTATGATTCTCTTTGTGGCACCAATTATCTGTGTGGCACCGAATCTCTTATGATTCTCTTTGTGGCACCAATTATCTGTGTGGCACCGAATCTCTTATGATTCTCTTTGTGGCACCAATTATCTGTGTGGCACCAATCTCTTGTGATTCTCTTTGTGGCACCAATTATCTTTGTGGCACCGAATCTCTTATGATTCTCTTTGTGGCACCAATTATCTGTGTGGCACCGAATCTCTTATGATTCTCTTTGTGGCACCAATTATCTTTGTGGCACCGAATCTCTTATGATTCTCTTTGTGGCACCAATTATCTTTGTGGCACCGAATCTCTTATGATTCTCTTTGTGGCACCAATTATCTGTGTGGCACCAATCTCTTATGATTCTCTTTGTGGCACCAATTATCTGTGTGGCACCGAATCTCTTATGATTCTCTTTGTGGCAACAATTATCTGTGTGGCACCGAATCTCTTATGATTCTCTTTGTGGCACCAATTATCTGTGTGGCACCAATCTCTTATGATTCTCTTTGTGGCACCAATTATCCGTGTGGCACCGAATCTCTTATGATTCTCTTTGTGGCACCAATTATCTGTGTGGCACCAATCTCTTATGATTCTCTTTGTGGCACCAATTATCTGTGTGGCACCAATCTCTTATGATTCTCTTTGTGGCACCAATTATCTTTGTGGCACCGAATCTCTTATGATTCTCTTTGTGGCACCAATTATCTGTGTGGCACCGAATCTCTTATGATTCTCTTTGTGGCACCAATTATCCGTGTGGCACCGATCTCTTATGATTCTCTTTGTGGCACCAATTATCTGTGTGGCACCGAATCTCTTATGATTCTCTTTGTGGCACCAATTATCTGTGTGGCACCAATCTCTTATGATTCTCTTTGTGGCACCAATTATCTGTGTGGCACCAATCTCTTATGATTCTCTTTGTGGCACCAATTATCTGTGTGGCACCGATCTCTTATGATTCTCTTTGTGGCACCAATTATCTGTGTGGCACCGAATCTCTTATGATTCTCTTTGTGGCACCAATTATCTGTGTGGCACCAATCTCTTATGATTCTCTTTGTGGCACCAATTATCTGTGTGGCACCAATCTCTTATGATTCTCTTTGAGGTCTTCCTCCCTTTCCAGTTGCTTCCGGTTTTTTCTCTCTCCAAACAACAACAACAATAACAACAACACACTTTGGTTCTTTCGGTAAAGTCAGGTAGCAAATAAAATCAAAGAATAATAGAATACGACGTTTCGGTTGCAACACAAGCAACCATCACCAGGTAAGAATGAATGATAAAACACCGACACGGGAACAGCATAGGCAGACGCACATTGCAAAGAGTAATTCCTGCAGTCACGAAAGCTTCGAATCTAGTTTAATAACAACAAAGTTTAAATGTCCCTGTTGGTGTCCATCCTACATTATGTGCCCTCTTCTACCTATACCTATTATTTATCGACGTTTCAATACGTTTGTCTTCATCCATCCAAAGCAAACCAAATCATCGGCACCTTTTAGCGCGTGCGGCAATTGTTTGTCGCGGCAAGCCCATCACGAAGGGGTGCTCGATCACGTTTCGAGACCGGCAGAGCCCTGCAGTAAATGTCCACTAGGGGGCGACGTTGCTCCACGCTCAATATTCTTCGGTCACGTTTTAAAATTTGGCAAAAGAAAATTGGGACCTTGACGCCCCGGCGCGCAGTAGTGTCCACTGTATTTTTTTTTGTTTGGTTTGTTCTCGAAGCGACGTCAGCGAATGTTCAACGTCCGCTGTGAATCCGTCGGCGTATATTTTACACTTTATTGTTAATACACGCGCAGTATTATTTAGGCCGGCCTAGCAAATTTGCACCGCGCACCGCATCTTTGCAGCGGGCGAGTTAGAGTTAATGACAAATATTGTGGTTGTTTTGTATTTGTTCTTACGTACCCCTGATTCTGTGTTTGCTTTGTATATTGATATTTTATATATTAATGTTTCCTTATTTGTTTCAGGCATCCTCAGTGGAAGTGAAGACCGCTTGGGTGCATGAGATTAGAAAGGTCCTGACAAGCCAACTGGAAGCCTGCAAAGGTCAGATGTCGCACAGACGCAGTCAAGCTGGATAAAAACGATGAAAGCGCGGTGCAACAGGAGCCGATAGGGGGGCGCCACGTTGGCTAGGAGATGTTAACTACCTCGCCTGGTGTGCAGGATGTCGTGGCTTCGAGCCCGACCCCGACGCCTGCTGCTGCTGTATATTTAGAGTTTGGATGTCTCTCTCTCTCTCCCCGTTGTCGCGTGGATTTTTCTCCGGGTCCTCCGGTTTTTCCCACCCCGCATTAAGAATCAACGTGCATTCAGAGTATTTGGCTGCTATAAATGTCGACATTTATGGCAGACTTCGTTGAGCGAAGTGGCGTTTCATGCGCTGAATATCTCAGTAGACCTTACCTGATAAAATATAAATTAAATTTTGATTTAAAGCTTTCGTGACTGCAGTAATTCATATTCTTAGTTTTTTCGGTAAAGTTACGTTGAAGAGAAACAACAAAATAATAAAATATATATAAAACAATAAAAAAATTCTCACGACGTTTCGACCATAACTCAAACGGTCATCTTCAGGTGTGTTGGTTTGCATAAATTTATTTTTAAACGGCGCATTTATTTATTTATAAAAAACGTTAGCGCCACGCGCAGCGATTTGGCAGTTTGCCCAGGACTAGTCCATCTATATTTTGAAAAGAGGAGGGGGGAGACGAAATTTTTTATAATGTATGCTGTCTGAAAGCCACTGTAAGCGTGAACAATCAATTAAGAACTGAAATGGTTTATCAAATCTTTCCAATGATTGCTAAGATAGAATCCATCTTCTCGGTTGAAATTGTCTCTGTGCTTGTATATGTGGATAGCCTCATGAACGAATCTCTCATGGAAGCCAGATGGCTTGCAGAGAACCTCTGTCTTGGAGAAGTCAATGTCATGTGAGCCTACTGAATTATAACAGTGATCTGCCACGGCCGAGGTGTTGGTCCTACCGTGTTTAAGGTCTGCTTTATGTTCACGAATGCGGTCCGAGACATGGCGTTTGGTTTATCCAATGTAACTACTACCACAGAGGCAACTTAGTTTGTAGACACCAGGGTATTGTATGTCCGGAATCACATCTTTTACAGACGGAACCAGATCACGGATTTTATGTAATGTGTTGAAATGGACCTGGATCTTGTGTTTATTCAAGATTTTGGAGATCTTTTTTGTGATCCCAGCAATGTAGGGTAAAGTGATGGTTTTGAAAGGCACCTCAAGAGGGTTCTTCTTCATGGTTTGAGTGATAGCTTTGCGGATTGTATAGTCGGAGTAACCATTAGCCCTAAGAGCTTGGTATACGTGCTTGAGTTCACTGCTTATGTGTTCCTGGTCGGATATGCATTGGGCTCTATGATACAGAGTCTTGATGAGATAATTATTCTGTGATGGATGGTGGTGGGAATCCGGTTTCAGATAAGCATCCGTATGGGTAGCTTTCCTTTAGACAGAGTGGCTCATTGAACCATCAGGTCTCTTTTTAATTAGGACATAAATAAATAAATGCGCCGTTTAAAAATAAATGTATACAAACCAACACACCTGAAGATGACCGTTTGAGTTATGGTCGAAACGTCGTGAGAATTTTTTTATTGTTTTATATATTTTATTTTTTTGTTGTTTCTCTTCAACGTGACTTTACCGAAAAAACTAAGAATATGAATTACTGCAGTCACGAAAGCTTTAAATCAAAATTTAATCGCCTCTACGGGGAGGGTTTTCACATAACTTTAAGATCCTTCAACAAACTCCGGGATAAGAAAGCTCAGCTGGTCGAGTCTCTCACCTTCCTGAAGAGATGCCGCGACTCTGGGGTAATACCAATCGCATTTACACTGACCTCTGCTGCTGTAACTTCTTCTAATGCGAAACGAATTCTTTTCAAAACTAGCTTAGCTCTTATCTCAGAAAAAATCAGACTTATACGCACAGAACTAGATCAGTTAGACAAGACACTCTACAAATCACACTTATCATTGACGGCAATAATGTCCACATCGGATTGGGAACATGTAAACAATATGACTGCCTCTTCAGCTGCTACTATGTCGACCAAATGTAAGGAAAACCTGATTTCCAAATTTAACCTCCTCTTCAACAAAAGACCGGACCCACACACCAAAAAGTTAGACGTTAATAAAGTCGTAATTAATCGCAGTAACAGTTCTATTTCCGATGGTCTGAAATCCGTTTTAGCTAAAGGTCTAAACTTTGCAGTCACACCTAAACACATACCAGTTAATGATATAATTGCCCAAGTAGACGTTGCTCTCAGGGGCCTGGGTCACATCGCTGCAGACGTAGCAAGATCTGAAATCGCTGCAACCCTCAAAAACGCTAAGATGCCAGCTAGCAACCTCAGCAAAGATGAGCGTTTTGAATTATATAAATTAAAAAAGAGGAATGATATTGTAGTCCTCTCAGCTGACAAAGGCAATGCTACTGTCATCATGGATAAAATAGAATACAACAACAAAATTAAAGAATTACTCGACGATGGTAGTTATACAAAAATAAAAAGATCCCACAAACAGCCTCGTCACACAAACCAACAAAATAATTTCTGATTCAACCGCATTAATTGATCAATCTAAACAGTTTTCGTTGAAACCTTCTGCTGCCAGGCCACCAAGATTATACGGCTTACCAAAAATACATAAAGTAGATACACCTCTTCGTCCCATAGTCTCTACTATCAGCTCCCCCACCTACAAACCAGCTCGTTTTTTGTCTGAAATCCTGCGTCCTTTCACTGGAAAGACCACCTCTGTGGTACAAAATTCTACTCACCTGGTATCGACAATCACGGGTATTTCCCTGTCCCCAGACGACCTGCTTGTCAGTTTTGATGTAGTTTCCTTATTCACCAAGGTTCCTGTACCTGACACCATTGCAATCATTGAAGACTTGGTTCATCAAGGACTAAACACTGAGGTACCCCCCCTGGTGAGACACTGTTTAACCAATACATACTTCACTTGGAATGGAACTTTCTACAAACAAACTGAGGGCACCCCAATGGGCTCCCCCCTTTCTCCAGTTATAGCTAACATTTTCATGGAGAAATTTGAGACTGACGCCATCTAGACTGCCACTCTGCGCCCAACCTTATGGAAGAGGTACGTGGATGACACTTTTGTCATCTGGCCACATGGCCGGCCTGCTCTAGACCAATTCTTCGACCACATCAATTCCATACACCCAGCCATCAGATTTACCATGGAAGTCGAAATAGATGGCAAGATACCTTTTTTGGATGTCCTAATTAAAAAGAGACCTGATGGTTCAATGAGCCACTCTGTCTACAGGAAAGCTACCCATACGGATGCTTATCTGAAACCGGATTCCCACCATCATCCATCACAGAAGAATTCTCTCATCAAGACTCTGTATCATAGAGCCCAATGCATATCCGACCAGGAACACATAAGCAGTGAACTCAAGCACGTACACCAAGCTCTTAGGGCTAATGATTACTCCGACTATACAATCCGCAAAGCTATCACTCAAACCATGAAGAAGAACCCTCTTGAGGAGCCTTTCAAAACCATCACTTTACCCTACATTGCTGGGATCACAAAAAAGGTCTCCAAAATCTTGAATAAACACAAGATCCAGGTCCGTTTCAACACATTACATAAAATCCGTGATCTGGTTCCGTCTGTAAAAGATGTGATTCCGGACATACAATACCCTGGTGTCTACAAACTAAGTTGCCTCTGTGGTAGTAGTTACATTGGAGAAACCAAACGCCATGTCTCGGACCGCATTCGTGAACACAAAGCAGACCTTAAACACGGTAGGACCAACACCTCGGCCGTAGCAGATCATTGTTCTAATTCAGTAGGCTCACATGCCATTGACTTTTCCAAGACAGAGGTTATTTGTAAGCCATCTGGCTTCCATGAGAGATTCGTTCATGAGGCTATCCACATATCCAAGCACAGAGACAATTTCAACCGAGAAGATGGATTCTATCTTAGCAATCATTGGAAAGATTTGATAAACCATTTCAGTTCTTAATTGATTGTTCACGCTTACAGTGGCTTTCAGACAGCATACATTATAAAAAATTTCGTCTCCCCCCTCCTCTTTTCAGAATATAGATGGACTAGTCCTGGGCAAACTGCCAAATCGCTGCGCGTGGCGCTAACGTTTTTTTAATAAATAAATAAATGCGCCGTTTAAAAATAAATTAATGCAAACCAACACACCTGAAGATGACCGTTTAAGTTATGGTCGAAACGTCGTGAGAATTTTTTATTGTTTTATATATATTTTATTATTTTGTTGTTTCTCTTCAACGTGACTTTACCGAAAAAACTAAGAATAAAAATATAAATTGTTTAGTTTTTAGTTGAAATTGTCGCTAGTTGCAGAGGTTCGCGGTTCAAATCCGGCAGGCCGCCCCGGCTATTACCGTGATGCACGCCGTCTGCTTCACAGAGGACGTTAAAGATCCCCTGACGTCTTTCGAAACGTGCGCCAATGCAAACAGTCCTAATTTTTCCAAGTACGAAAAATTACACCGCACATTTACTCAAACTTGAGACTACACATCACATTTGTGGCCCTACGCTGGCAGCCTCCATGCCATGTGCAGGCCGGTGCCTCAAAAGTAGCCTTCACCAACCCCACACTGACCGGCGTGACAACACGATCGTACAGACCCCACGACCCACAGTGTGGGGAGTCCCTCACGGTAGTCCTGGGTCCCAGGTTCCAGGCTCCCAGGGTCTCAGGTCCAAGGTCCCAGGCTCCCAGGCTCCCAGGTCCGTGTCGCTGAAACCCCAGGTGACCCGACGCCTCCACCCATCGAGACGCTGCGCCGTCAGCGAATGCACACCAACATGCACAGAGACCAGTAGACTCTCACAGAGACCCGTAATCTTTCATAGAGATCCGTAGACCCTCATAGAGACCAGTAAACTCTCACAGAGACCAGTAGACTCTCACAGAGACCCATAGACTCTCACAGAGACCCGTAATCTTTCATAGAGATCCGTAGACCCTCATAGAGACCAGTAGACTCTCACAGAGACCCATAGACCCTCACAGAGATCCGTAGACCCTCATAGAGAGCCATATACTCTCACAGAGACCCGTAGACTCTCACAGAGACCCATAGACTCTCACAGAGACCCGTAGACTCTCACAGAGACCCATAGACTCTCACAGAGACCAGTAAACTCTCACAGAGACCCGTAGACTCTCACAGAGACCCGTAGACTCTCACAGAGACCCATATACTCTCACAGAGACCAGTAAACTCTCACAGAGACCAGTAGACTCTCACAGAGACCCATAGACTCTCACAGAGACCCGTAATCTTTCATAGAGATCCGTAGACCCTCATAGAGACCAGTAGACTCTCACAGAGACCCATAGACCCTCACAGAGATCCATAGACCCTCATAGAGACCCATATACTCTCACAGAGACCCGTAGACTCTCACAGAGACCCGTAATCTTTCATAGGGATCCGTAGACCCTCATAGAGACCAGTTAACTCTCACAGAGACCAGTAGACTCTCACAGAGACCCGTAATCTTTCATAGAGATCCGTAGACCCTCATAGAGACCAGTAGACTCTCACAAAGACCCATATACCCTCACAGAGATCTGTAGACCCTCATCGAGACCCATATACTCTCACAGAGACCCGTAGACTCTCACAGAGACCCATAGACTCTCACAGAGACTCGTAGACTCTCACAGAGACCCATAGACTCTCACAGAGACCCGTATACTCTCACAGAGACCCATAGACTCTCACAGAGACCCGTAGACTCTCACAGAAACCCGTAGACTCTCACAGAGACCAATAAACTCTCAGAGAGACCCGTAGACTTTCATAGAGACCTACGAAAGTCTATGGGTTGGCTACATACGACGCTACGTATAGTGAAAAACAAGTTAGTTTCATAGTTTAGTTTCATTTTTTTTGGTATAGCCCTGTGAGCCATTCAGCTCTTGAATCGGGTGCAACCTCAACAAACAAAAAAACAAAAACATGAACAAGAAAACATCTTAAAGTGACTTTGTGCATGTGCAAACAGAAAATCCAGGAAAAAAACATCAAAATATTCCTGAAATAGCACCGTACACCAACGCTGCGTGCAAAAATCCCAGTGGGATGCAAGTCAAACAACAACAACAAGAAAACTTAGATTAAGGCCATCAGTCTAACTCCGTACTACAATAAACAAAAACATGGCCAAACCAAAAAACTTTTAGAAATCACCAAAATAAAGCCATAAATGCAATGTAACAGTGATCATAGGAACTGTGACCGAATTTTTTACAATAAACTACATAAATAACATCTAACACCAAACCCTAGAGCCATAGCTGGCTGCATGAGTCACTCCACAACAACAGGAGCACCAGTCGGAGTATCACATTTTTCAATGCACCTTTAAGATCAGCGCACTAAATCAAAATACAGATAATACTTTGCAGCGGTCATCCGGAGCGAAACATTTTATTTTATTTTAGGCCACTGAATAGCAGTGGCAGCTAGCGGTGTACAACTCCTCTAGAGCAGTTTCAACGTACATACATGCATACGTATTTGAGTCTATGGATATCTGTGCCATCAGCGGGAGCTCCTCTCAAGTAACCCCAATAGATTCTATGCCCCTTTGTCCAGTCTGGCTCCAGCTCATCAGCGAGCATCTACATTCCTTGTAAATGTCCCTTTGAACAAAAATTGGAACAAGTGACGGAGCCTTGTTTTCCTCCTTTTAACGTCCTAAACCTTCAAAACATATTTCCGAAGCAGAAGATGAGCGCTGGATACACAACCGCATTTGCGAAAAGTTATTTTTAACATTGATCCTTGCCCGTGTGGCGATAGTTCAATTTTAATGTGCCATTTTATTGAGGGACTACTGTGTGTTGTCTTGGTGTGCCCTGGGACTGTTGTTGTTATTGTAAAAAAAAAAAACGACAGGAAGTGATATACGGTAAAACCTTGGATCGCGAGCATAATTCGTTCCGGAAACGTGTTTGTCATCCAAAGCACTCGTATATCAAAGCACTCGTGTATCAGTTGTGATCACGTTACGCTCGGCAGTACAAAGCGTACACGTACACTACTCGTATTGCAAGACCCACGCTCGTTTATCAAATTAATATTTATTAAAAAAATTTGCTCGTCTTGCAAAACACTCGCAGACCAAGTCACTCGCAATCCAAGGTTTTGACTGTACTTCTTTAATTGGTACGTGTGTACTTTACTTACGTTAATTCATTTAGTGTTAGTGACTTGCTTACCTTTCCTATACTTTGCACTCCTATCGGGTTTTTTTTGTGTGTGTGTGTGTGTGCGCGCTCATGTTTGTTTGGCTTTCTGACGCTGTGCCCCCTGACCGGACGTCTGTGATAAAAGAGCTTCACAGCTCATCGGATTCCTCCTGCAGTCCCAGTCTCATTACGGCCACGCTCTCTCTGCGTTTGCCAGGAGAAGGCTCGCTGTCGCCCTCCCCTCCTCCTTCCTGTTGGCGGCGGTGAAACGCCTCTCGGCCATTTTGCATGCGGCCGCGATCCCCGGTGACGGATTGGTCGATTGCGTCGTCGGTTGGGCTGCTTATCCTCGCGTGATGAGACCACTTCCAGAGACACGTCTCTCGAGGGTTTCCATACTTATTTCTTAACGGCAGGGGTCACAGAGTGACATTAGCGCTGACTGACTTATAGCTTAGCGACGGCGACGACGTACAACTATATAGCTGGCTGCCTATATATATTGACGATGACGACGAAGACTGTGTAGCTGGCTGGCTTTGGCAGCGACGACAGCCAGGACCCGAACCCCCACGACAGCCCCGAACCCCGGTTCGCCTCTCCCTTTTATTCACCCAGCGTGGCCACGCCCCGCCCTTGGCCACGCCCCTCTTCTCGAACTCTCCCGAAGGGTTCCAGGAGCTTCCACTTCGAGCCCCTTTTTGACCCTTGGCCCAGTTATGCCCCCCTTGAGGTCGCTCCCGTGTGTGTCGCCCTATGATGCACCCACACCCGTAGTTAACGCCCACGCTCACTGGATGGCGTACTGTCATTACACCAGTATGGTTACCGTGCCTTTCCGAGACATGCGCAGGAAGCATCTCAGCCATCCGTGAGTAGCTGCTGCTGATAACTTGTCTGCAAAATGTGCCACTGCGATCGTCACTCTCGCCTTCTTCAGCTCCGGTCGCGTCGAGTAAAGTTGATTCGGCGTAAAGAGAGAGAGAGAGGGGAGAACTCACGAGCGGCCAGGGTAGGAGTCTCGTGTGGCACCGTGGCTCGGGATCATCATGAGTCGATTGAACAGATGGACCCCTTGTGCGCTCTTCACCTTGACGTGTCGGGACAGCAATCCAAAGTTTGACGCCACGCTGTTCTGCAACCATGTGACTTCCAGAGGCAAGTCAGCTGCAGCAGAGGATAACGGACATTTCCTTCCAGTCTCCAATGAGCACCGGCACACCCAGCAGTCCTCTAAGGTGAGCAGATACTACTGCTGCTGCTGCTACTGCTACAGGTGCCGTGACATTCCGAAACAGCGGCACAGCATTCGCCACAACGTCGAAGACAATCCCCTCGTCCGTTTTGCGAAATATGTTTCTGTCATCATAATCGTTGCTCGTTTGATCTGCTCAAAGAACGTCATTGGGTGACCGAATAGTCGTGCAAAAATCGAGCACGACGATTTAAGTTCTACATGAATACGTGCATTTTTTTTAGCCATCAAATTGAAAGTGCATGTGTGTGATACTGTGTCTACATGGATGTGTGCGTGTATGTGGGGAGCGGTGGTGCAGCGGTTAGCGCGCTGGACTACTCACCCGGCGGCCCGAGTTCGATTCCTGCTCGCGGCCAACACCGGTGACGATTATCTGAACCGGTCCTGGGCCTCCCCTAGGTCGACTTGGCCTCAAATGAGTACCTGGTGTGGTGTGTAAACATCGCCACTGGGCAGACAAAGGCGACCGGGCGTGGTGTGGGCCACCCAACCCCTCGTGTGCCGTGTCGGCACACAGGTGCTCGCTAACAGCACTTGCCCCAACAGTCTGTTCAGGCTACACGGGGGCGGGCGGGCGGGGGGGGGGGTATCTTTGTGTTTGTGTATGATTTACCTGCATCCCCCGTGTGTGAGTGTACATGTAATAAATCATGAATCGCCCGCATTGGTTTTTTGTTTTGTTCTCATTCAGAAACCAGCGTAAGAGCGGTTGGAGTCGCGGGAAGAGCCACTCGGAGCTTGTGACGATTCGCAACAGCAACGACGGCAAAAACGCACGCGCCTCGGGTGAGCATGCGCTTGCAAACGTCGCTGTACGTTTGTGCTTCCGGTCAGGCAGACGCTCGTGTGAATGCGTGCGCACATGTGCGTGACTCAAGCGAGTTACCTGGTGCGCTGTGTAGGAAAACATCCCCCCTGGGGAGACAAAGGGCGGCCGGCGTGGTGCCGGCCACCCACCGCCTCGCGTCCCGCGCCGGTGTCCATGGGCGCTGCTCGCTAACAGCACTTGTCCCGGGAAAGTCTGTTCAGGCTACACGGGGGATCTTCGTCTTTGTTTCCGTGTGCGTGTGAAAACCTGTGGGAGCGGAAAGTGGTGGCGTTGTGGTTAGAACATCGTGCGACAAACGCGACACAGTTTCCTATTATCCACGATGGATAACATCGGTGGTGAATATCGAAACCCCTCCTGGGCCTTGCCTAGGTCCACTCAGTCTCAAATGAGTACCTGGTACGGTGTGTAAACATCACCACTGGGGAGATGGTGCTGGTCACCCACCCCCTTGTGCGCAGTGCCGGCCTTCATAGGTGCTACTTGTGTTTAGTTTGTTGTCCTTCCCCCGCGCCTGCGATTAACACGGTTGGCTTGGTACGGTGAGAAAGAAGTTCTACATGAAACGCTAAAAGTACTTGCCTCCAATCGTCTGTGAAGGCTATATGGTGGGCCTTTGTCCGTGTCATTCTCCCAGCCATGCGCTAACCGTCTATCAATGTGTCTCCACACCATCCAATGTCCCAAATTAACTCTCCCCTGCCCCCCCCCCCACCCAACTCAACTGTTGCTTGCAACAAAATGAAGATCGCACAGCCCTCGACAACGCATCCAAGAGATTCACGATTCCCAGCGCGCGAGCTCCCAGAGGTGAGAACACAGCACGCAACCTCTTGCCTCCCCGCCGCCGGTGGCGCGTCAACTACTATAACTACTATAACTACTGTAAACTAGTTTTGTTTTAAATCTATTTGACCAGATAAGGGCCCAGTGAGCTGTGTAGCTCTTTTTCAGAAGCGACATGGCGATCGGCAATGATAGCTGAACGAAGTGGCTCTCATCATCACGTGGGGATGTATAGCGGCAGGCGAATACTCTAAATGGTTTATGTTGATTCTACATGTTGACGGGAAAAATCGGACGACCCGGAGAATAAATCCACGTCGCCACAGGGAGAACACGAAAGCTACAAATGTACAACAAGCGTCAGGGTCGGGATTTAATCCACGACCTCCTGTATACCTGGCAAGGCAGTTAACATCTCCCCACCGATACAGATACACGTCTGACAGTTCACAGGCATTAGTTCAAACAAGTCTGACTCTTATCTTGACCACGCTTTCCCACCCGATGACGGACGCTTGTGTTGCGCCCAAAACGTCGTGATTTATTTTATTTTATACCCACCACGTGACTTCACCGAAAGAACCAGAGAGCAAAGTCTGACTCTGCTGATCATAGATTGAATGTCAAAACTGGTACAGAGTTTGCTTGTGTTGAACCAATCCTGCTGAAATTATGAATTCCCAGAAGGCAGTGGTGGCTGATGGGATTTGTACATTTCCACACGGTGATAAGTGAGCTATCATTTGTGATCGCCACGTCCCGACTGAAAAAGAGCTAAATAGCTCAGTGGGCCTTAATTTGTTTAGTTTAGTTTAATCGCGTAAACACAAGGACGCTGTCGCAGCAGTAGTTTTGTGACGTCCCATTCCACGGGAACATTTCTTGAACATGCGGTGACACGCACTTCTCTTGACAAGAAGCGGAAAGTGGAACCGAAATGCAAACTGGGGAAAGGATGTATACAAACGTTGAGGAAATATCTAAATGCTGAAGTTGCTTTATTTTATTCTCGTGTTTTGTTCACACTCTGCTAATTCCTCTCTTCCCAGCCCTGTCGTGCCTATCCTCAATGAAGATCGGATCCACGTTGTAGATCCGCGAGCGTCGGATTGCTCTGCCTAGAATTCTAGCGCCGCACCGCTGCACCCGTAGACTCCGCTTTAGTAGAACAAAGATACCGCACGCGCGGCGATTTCTCACCCCCTCTGCCCTTCGTCCCCCTTTCCTCCCTGCTCCCACACCTCGTTAGCTACGCTCGCCCTCCGTTAATGCTGCTGCCGCCTCCGTCAACTCCGCGCTGACCTCTTCCGTGACCCCTCACCCTGACCGCTTCTCCTCCTTATCCTCTCATCCCCTCGACCCCCCCACCCCCTGCCCTCATATTCCCTTTGACCCCTGACCCCCTCGTAGACTCCCAGATTGACCTGTCCGGTGTGAATCGCCGCTACTCGGCCGCCCCGGCTCTGGGGTGCTCTCCGAAGCGCCAGCCATCGGGTAAAGGTGAACCCATGGCCCCGTAACATCCGGTTCACGCGCCCCACTTTCCATTTGAGCGAAATCGTCGTCCACGTGCGCACTCACTCACTCACTCACACACTCACACATTCACTCATTCACACACACACTCACACACTCACTCACACACTCACACACTCACTCACTCACACACTCACTCACACACTCACTCACTCACACACTCACACACTCACTCACACACTCACTCACTCACACACTCACTCACACACTCACTCATTCACACACACACTCACTCACACACTCACTCACACACTCATTCACACACTCACTCACACACTCACTCACACACTCACACACTCACTCACACACTCACTCACACACTCACTCACTCACACACTCACTCACTCACACACTCACTCACTCACACACTCACTCACTCACACACTCACTCACTCACACACTCACTCACTCACACACTCACTCACACACTCACTCACTCACACACTCACTCACACGCTCACTCACACACTCACTCACACACTCACACACTCACTCACTCACACACTCACTCACACACTCACTCACACACTCACTCACTCACTCACACACTCACTCACACACTCACTCACTCACACACTCACTCACTCACACACTCACTCACATACTCACTCACTCACACACTCACTCACTCACACACTCACTCACTCACACACTCACTCACACACTCACTCACTCACACACTCACTCACACACTCACTCACACACTCACTCACTCACACACTCACTCACACACTCACTCACTCACACACTCACTCACTCACTCACACACTCACTCACTCACTCACACGCTCACTCACACACTCACTCACACACTCACTCACTCACACACTCACTCACTCACACACTCACTCACTCACTCACACGCTCACTCACACACTCACTCACACACTCACACACTCACTCACTCACACACTCACACACTCACTCACACACTCACTCACACACTCACTCACTCACACACTCACTCACTCACACACTCACTCACTCACTCACACACTCACTCACTCACACACTCACTCACATACTCACTCACTCACACACTCACTCACTCACACACTCACTCACTCACACACTCACTCACACACTCACTCACTCACACACTCACTCACACACTCACTCACTCACACACTCACTCACACACTCACTCACACACTCACTCACTCACACACTCACACACACACTCACTCACACACTCACTCACTCACACACTCACACACACTCTCACTCACTCACTCGCCCGCGTGAAGGTCACACTGCGAACCTTTTGGGGTAGCTGCTGCGGTGCAGTGGTTAGCGGCACACCGGGGCCTGCAATTTCGGAGGCCGCAAGTCCGATTCGATATCCCGGCCGCGCAGCGGTTGGAGAGCAATGGGCGACCAAGAAGGCATTGTCCGTTGTGGGGGATCCTCTTTTGTGTGAGAATGCACAGAACAAATTACCCCCGACCTCTGGCCAGCCCAGCAGCACAAGCGGTGATCATCTCGTGACTCTGGTCCTTTGTCTCCTGTGATGTTGATGAAAAAGGCCTCTTGCCTTGTCCTCTGCCCGATGACGAGCGCAGGGCCTCCTGCGAGTCCGGCCAAAGCCAAACGGCACGAGGTGAAGAGCGACCCCACTCCTCTGGGCTACCGAGGTGAGAGGACATCGTCGTCGGCATCGTCGGCAACATTTGTCATCAGCAGCAGAAGCAGCAACACCTTCGTTCTCATAATTGCAGCAGCGGTAGCATCGTGTTTAACGGCAGCATCATCATCAGCAACAGCAGCATCGGGAAAAGCAGGCAACTTCTTTCTTATCTTCACAGGCAGCAGCAGCAGCAGCAGCAAAAGCAGCTGTAGCGTCATCAGCAGCCGTGCACAAATCCAATTGCAGCAAAATTGGGGAAGAATTGTTACTAAAATCCATCCGAGTTGTTTCGTGTGGTTTTTTTTTTCTTCCGTCCATCTAACCTCCGCGTCCTCACTCTTCCTCTCACTGCCTCCGTCCTCGCTTCGCAGCCTCGGAGCCGCTGATGTCCGCACTCGACAAGGCCAAGTGCTTCAGCACCGGGAACCTGTCTCCCACGTCCCACATCCAGCCAGGTGAACCAGGCGCTGTCGCACATTCTTTCTTCCCCACTCGCGTAACCCAACAAGCGCCGGATCCGTGCGGCCAGCCAGCCCAGCGCGGGCCCCACGCTGGATGTCCCACCGCGGGAGCCGGGCGGCGCCGCTGGCGTTCGCGCGCCGACGGCGTCTGCGTCACTGCGGCCGACGCCGACCGCGGGGGCGTCCGTTGGGACCTGCGGCGCCTGCAACAAAAAATTATTGGCGTCTGCTCATCGGACGGAGACGCCGCGAGGCCGCGCCCATTGCGCGCGAAGCGCTTGCCGCAAATGAACCGCGATACCGCGCCGATCCCGTCAAGGAGCGTAAACCATCGCGTGAACCCCGGCCAGCCCCGCGGCGGCGGCGGCGGCGGCTTTGTCTGGCCGTTGAGTGAACCCCGGCCGGCACCGCATCGCGAGCTTTCGGGCGCGCTCCTGCGGCCGTCTGTAACGCTCTACCTTCCGATACTAGGAAGCCACTCGAGTTATGCACTTCTAAATCATGTAGATGAGTGTTCTTCACTCCGCCGCACCGCCTGCAAGGGGTGCTCTCACACGGTGTGTACTGTCGGGGGGCCGCATGCCAGGGGCCACGCTTAAGGCCACCAGGGGCCGCCACTGGCCCGCGGGGCCTTGCGACGAAGAACACCGATCTAGATTGAAAACTCATTTCCTTGGAACTCCTTCTTGTGTGTTTAGTTCGTTGTGCTTCCCCCGCACCTCCGATTAGCACGGTTGGCTGCGTACGGTAGAAAAGAAGTTCAACATACGTATGTACATATCTCTCAGTGGGCCTTTCCTGGTAAAATAACAACAACATTTTTTACTAGTTAGTTACATTGAGGGACAGAGAGAGAAATGCGTGGATTAGAAAGCAAACTGCAGTCACAGACATAATTCACATTGGTAAGAAATGGTGAGCGGGTTCTGGCCAAGATGGGTCATGGTTAGTAGGATTGACGGGGGCCGATGGTCAAGGATAGTTGCGGAGTGGCAGCCACTGAATGGACCGCACCTGAGTGGACGTCCACCTAGGATGTGCAGCGATGAAATCAGCTCATTCGCTACGTATGGTGCGAAAGAAGTTCAACATGCACACACCAATACAAATACCCGCCATTCGCCACTTAGTGACGGTGATGTTGCTACGGCGCCCGTGCCCCAGCCAGGTGCACTTTGGGGCCACGTGAAGGGTCAAAGGCTCGCTGGCAGGAGGTGACTGGATAGACCCAGCAGACGCCAAGGATTGGCTGACTGAGATGACTGGCCGATGCACCAGCCGTGCCCCCGCTGTGCCAACTCGCTGTATTTTAGCCGCCCAGCACTCCGCTCATTGTTGTGAGCATCGCTTCTCATGTACACGCGAAGACAAAAAGACCAAGATTCCCCCGTGTGGCCTTTAACAGGCTATTGGGGCAAGTGCTGTTAGCGGGTAGCGCCTACGAAGGCTGGCACGGCACACGAGGGGTGTGTGGAGGAAAACCGCGCCCGGCCGCCTTTGTCTCCCCAGTGGCAAAGTTTACACACAGCACCCGCTACTCATTTGAGACCGAGTCGACCTAGGGGAGGCGCAAGACCGGTCCAGATCATTGTCGCGGGTGTTGGCCGCGAGCGGGAATCGAACTGACCGCTCCCACACGTGCAGCGTGAGCGAGTCGCTGCGTAGACCCTCGCGTTGGGCGGTGTGCCGACGTCGCCCTGACCCCGGTCGCCCCCCGCCCCCACAGGGGACTGGCTGCCCAAGCCCGCGCCCACGGTGGACAATAACGAGGACTACGACGCCGGGTGGTCAAGCGCCGACGAGCTGATCAACTCGTCCGAGGCCGAGGATGAGCAGTCCACCTCGCAGGTGGGCCACCCTCCCGTGCCCACCTCCGCACGACTGTCCACGCGTAGGCTCAGGGCAGCGGCGAGGTTGACGCCCGCTGGCCGTGCACCGTCTACGCTACGAGCCCCGCCGCCCACTTGTTTGCGACGGCCAGGCCACGACTGAGAGCGGCGAGGCGTTACAGCTTAGTGACGGCTTTGCCCGGTGAAGTAAAACAACGTGTTTAGTTTGATTGTTATTACCGTCACTGCAACGTCAACTCCGCTATGTGGGCACCAACGGTGACCACGCGGGGAATGGGGGGGGGCGCAGAAGTTCCACGGGCAACGGGGGTGGGGGGGGGGGGGGCACAGTGCCCCTGGGTTTTCAGGAAGGGAGAGGAATTGGTCTCACTGCCCCTCCCAGGTGGGGGCCCGCGAGCGGTAGCGCGGGAGTTTGCGTGGGGAGTGAAGGGTGGGGGGCGGGGATGACAGAAGTAAGGGGTATGAACGGGGGACGTTTTAAGGTTTTCAGGAAACGGACGTGATGTCTAACACGCGTGCTTTGGCGACGAAACATTGCCCGTAATGGAGGGGTGTCTTTGGGGTAAGATCGCGCAAATATGTATCCCTCGATATAAGACCAAAACAGGAGGAGGATTTCTCCACACCTCTGGCTGTTGCCTGATGAGGCTGGTTGTAATTGCCGGCGAAACGTCACGGTACTCGAATGGTAAAATGTTGCGGGTTTGCTAACCAACACACAAACCGGCGTGCTGAACTAGTAACGAATTGGCACGTTTCCTTTACGTGACGAACCTTAACTAATGGGCTCTGTCGGGTGGTGGCCGGTTTAACGACGCATTTACATATTCACGCGACGTAACCCAAAACAAGCCTGTGATATACACACGTCATGTCGATGTTCTGCTGAGGCCCAGTTGCCCTGTGTTTGTCCCGCGCAGTACACGGCTCCAGGGGACTATGAGGCTCAGACGGCAGAAGAGATCACCTTGAAGAAGGGGGAAGGCATCATTCTGCTGAAGGAGGACAGCGAGGGATACTGGTGCGGCCTTCCTCACGAGCGATCGATGAAATACGATAAATACGTTTCCACATTTTTTTTTTAATCATTACTGTTGCGCGTCCGGCGCTCTGTGTAAGAGTCATGTGTAACAGCGTTCGCTAAATTAAATGAAATACAATCGTTATCATCGTGACCAGCCGTGAGCTATCCGCTGCCGGATCAAGGCCCTTCGCAAGCTGTCACCATTTCCCACAATCCTGCGACGCAACAATCCACCTAGCCATCTTCACTCGAGCTGATTCCGTAGCTCCATCTCCACAGTGCGCGTCCTGTTGGATGAGTTTCCCTCCCTTGGCTGTCCCTCAAAAGTCAGTCTCGGCTGTTGACCATCGCAGCTTCTCACGATGTGTCCCACCAAAGGCCGTTTAACTTGTTGCCAAGTGTGCGGTGTGTCCATGAGTGTGTGCGGCGTGTCTGTGTGCGCGGCGCATCCGTGCGTGTGCACACGTCTGTGTGTGTCTTTTGTATTTTGGTGTGTCCGCGTGTGTTTTGTGCGTCCCGAGTGTGGGTACGTTCGTGCAGGGAGCGGTAGTGTAGCGGTGAGCGCACTGCCCTGTGTACCCAGCCACCCGGGTTCGATTCCCGCTCACGGCCAACGCCAGTGGCGATTATCTGAACCAGTCATGGGCCTACCCTCGCTTCACATGAGGACCTGGTGCGGTGTGTGAAAACATCGCCACTGGGGAGACAAAGGCGGTCGGGCGTGGTGCTGGCCACCCAACCCCTTCGTGTGCCATGCCGGCCTTCATAGGTGCTCGCTAACAGCACTTGCCCTAACAGCCTGTTAGGCTATATGGGGGATATTTGTCTTTACCATTATATAGCGGTTAGCATGCTGCACTACAAACCTGGCTACCCGGGTTCAATTCCCGCTCACGGCCAACGCCAGTGGCGGTTATCTGAACCGGTCCTGGGCCTCCCCTAGGCTAACTCAGCCTCAAACGAGTACCTGGTGCGACGTGCAAAGATCACCACCGAAGAGACAAAGGCGGTCGGGCGTGGTGCTGGCCACCCAACCCCCTCGTGTGCCATGCCGGCCTTCATAGGTGCTCGCTAACAGCACTTGCCCCAACAGTCTACTCAGGGCTACAGGGGGGGGGATCTTCGTTTTTGTGCAGGCTGGTGCGGAGCAGTGTTTCACTCCGGGAAGGCCTCGTTCCCAGTTCTCACTTCAAGTCTCCGGGCGTCGACTCCAAGTCCTGCCAATCGCTCAGCAGCTCCGGGGAGGGCTTCCCGCACTCCGGTGAGGAGAGGAAAACCCCTCTGAACGACCACCCCTGCCAGCGACTAATCGCTTAACGACGTGCCTCCATAGAGCCCAGTGTGTAGTGTGTATAGTGTAGTGTATAGTGTACTGTATAGTGTAGTGTGTAGTGTATAGTGTAGTGTATAGTAGTGTAGTGTATAGTAGTGTAGTGTGTAGTGTATAGTAGTGCAGTATATAGTAGTGTGATGTATAGTGTAGTGTATAGTAGTGTATTGTATAGTAGTGTAGTGTATAGTAGTGTCTAGTAGTGTAGTGTATAGTGTAGTGTATAGTAGTGTATAGTGTAGTGTATAGTGTAGTGTATAGCGTAGTGTATAGTAGTGTAGTGTATAGTAGTGTAGTGTATACAGTGAGGGAAAAAGTATTTGATCCCCTGCTGATTTTGTACGTTTGCCCACTGACAAAAAATTATCAGTCTATAATTTTAATGGTTGGTTTATTTGAACAGTGAGAGACGGAATAACAACAAAAAAATCCAGAAAAACGCATGTCAAAAATGTTATAAATTGATTTGCATTTTAATGAGAGAAATAAGTCTTTGACCCCTCTGCAAAACATGACTTAATACTTGGTGGCAAAATCCTTGTTGGCAATCACAGAGGTCAGATGTTTCTTGTAGTTGGCCACCAGGTTTGCACACATCTCAGGAGGGATTTTGTCCCACTCCTCTTTGCAGATATTCTCCAAGTCATTAAGGTTTCAAGGCTGATGTATGGCAACTCGAACCTTCAGCTCCCTCCACAGATTTTCTATGGGATTAAGGTCTGGAGACTGGCTAGGCCACTCCAGGACCTTAATGTGCTTCTTATTGAGCCACTCCTTTGTTGCCTTGGCCGTGTGTTTGGGTCTTTGTCATGCTGGAATACCCTTCCACGACCCATTTTCAATGCCCTGGCTGAGGGAAGTATTTGATCCCCTGCTGGTTTTGTACGTTTTCCCACTGACAAAGAAATGATAAGTCTATCATTTTAATGGTAGGTTTATTTGAACAGTGAGAGACAGAATAACAACCAAAAAATCCGGAAAAACGCATGTCAAAAATTTTATAAATTTTATAATTTGCATTTTAATGAGGGAAATACGTTTTTGACCCCCTCTCAATCAGAAAGATTTCTGGCTCCCAGGTGTCTTTTATACAGGTAACTAGCTGAGATTAGGAGCACACTCTTAAAGGGAGTGCTCCTAATCTCAGCTTGTTACCTGTATAAAAGACACCTGTCCACAGAAGCAATCAATCAATCAGATTCCAAACTCTCCAGCATGGCCAAGACCAAAGAGCTCTCCAAGGATGCCAGGGACAAGATTGTAGACCTACACAAGGCTGGAATGGGCTACAAGACCATTGCCAAGCAGCTTGGTGAGAAGGTGACAACAGTTGGTGCAATTATTCGCAAATGGAAGAAACACAAAAGAACTGTCAATCTCCCTCGGCCTGGGGCTCCATGCAATATCTCACCTCGTGGAGTTGCAATGATAATGAGAACGGTGAGAAATCAACCCAGAACTACACGGGAGGATCTTGTCAATGATCTCAAGGCAGCTGGGACCATAGTCACCAAGAAAACAATCGGTAACACACTACGCCGTGAAGGACTGAAATCCTGCAGTGCCCGCAAGGTCCCCCTGCTCAAGAAAGAACATATACATGCCCGTCTGAAGTTTGCCAATGAACATCTGAATGATTCAGAGGACAACTGTGTGAAAGTGTTGTGGTCAGATGAGTCCAAAATGGAGCTCTTTGGCATCAACTCAACTCGTCGTGTTTGGAGGAGGAGGAGGAATGCTGCCTATGACCCCAAGAACCCCATCCCCACCGTCAAACATGGAGGTGGAAACATTATGCTTTGGGGTGTTTTTCTGCTAAGGGGACAGGACAATTTCACCGCATCAAAGGGACGATGGACGGGGCCATGTACCGTCAAATATTGGGTGAGAACCTCCTTCCCTCAGCCAGGGCTTTGAAAATGGGTCGTGGATGGGTATTCCAGTATGACAATGACTCAAAACACACGGCCAAGGCAACAAAGGAGTGGCTCAAGAAGAAGCACATTAAGGTCCTGGAGTGGCCTAACCAGTCTCCAGACCTTAATCCCAGAGAAAATCTGTGGAGGGAGCTGAAGGTTCGAGTTGCCAAACGTCAGCCTCGAAACCTTAATGACTTGGAGAAGATCTGCAAAGAAGAGTGGGACGAAATCCCCTCCTGAGATGTGTGCAAACCTGGTGGACAACTACAAGAAACGTCTGACCTCTGTGGTTTGCCACCAAGTACTGTCATGTTTTGCAGAGGGGTCAAATACTTATTTCCCTCATTAAAATGCAAATCAATTTATAACATTTTTGACATACGTTTTTCTGGATTTTGTTGTTGTTATTCTGTCTCTCACTGTTCAAATAAACCGACCATTAAAATTATAGACTGATAATTTCTTTGTCAGTGGGCAAGCGTACAAAATCAGCAGGGGATCAAATACTTTTTTCCCTCACTGTGTAGTAGTATAGTGTATAGTAGTGTAGTGTATAGTAGTATAGTGTATAGTAGTGTAGTGTATAGTAGTATAGTGTAGTGTATAGTAGTGCAGTATATAGTAGTGTAGTGTATAGTGTAGTGTATAGAAGTGTAGGGTCTCCATAGAGCTGAATGTTTTCACTTATTGACCATTCCCCTATTAGACAAGCTGTTGTAGGTACAGTAAATATTAATTAATTCATTGATTAACCATGTTTATTTTAATAGTATGTGTTTGTTGTTAGTTTCTTTAAACAATAATATCCATTTTAATATTATAAAGTACGTTTTTGGGTGAAAAAGGGTAACTTTCGATGCTATAGGAACGAAATAAGCCTTTAATGTGTATGTCCTATACTCGCTTAATGACCAAATCACTTAACGACCGGATTCGTGGAACCAATTACCGTCGTTAAGAGGGTTTCTACTGTACGCACGTTGGCCCAATAGTCGAATGTTAAACCCCCCCCAAAAAACTCCCGTGCATTTAGATTGTTTAGATTACAGAGACTCCTCTAATTACGAACGAGTTAGGTTCCAGAGGTCTGCTCGGAAGTCGATTTGTTTGTAAGTCCAACTTTACTCCATGTCGATTCCAAACACGTTGTATGGCGTGGACACTAAACACGGGGAAAGTCGTATAATCTCCTGTAGACGTAGATGCCACTGGTTCTTCATTTCTGTAGATGTAGTGCCACTGGTTCTTCACGTTCTGTAGATGTAGATGCCACTGGTTCTTCATGTCCTGCAGATGTAGATGCCACTGGTTCTTCATGTTCTACAGATGTAGATGCCACTGGTTCTTCATGTTCTGTCGATGTAGATGCCACTGGTTCTTCAGGTTCTGTAGATGCCACTGGTTCTTCATGTTCTGTAGATGTAGATGCCACTGGTTCTTCATGTTCTGTAGATGTAGATGCCACTGGTTCTTCACGTTCTGTAGATGTAGATGCCACTGGTTCTTCATGTTCTACAGATGCAGATGCCACTGGTTCTTCACGTTCTGTAGATGTAGATGCCACTGGTTCTTCATGCTCTGTAGATGTAGATGCCACTGATTCTTCGTGTTCTGTAGATGTAGTTGCCACTGGTTCTTCACATTCTACAGATGTAGATGCCACTGGTTCTTTAGGTTCTGTAGATGTAGATGCCACTGGTTCTTCACGTTCTACAGATGTAGATGCCACTGGTTCTTCACGTTCTACAGATGTAGATGCCACTGGTTCTTTAGGTTCTGTAGATGCAGATGCCACTGGTTCTTCATGTTCTGTAGATGTAGATGCCACTGGTTCTTCACGTTTTGCAGATGCAGATGCAACTGGTTCTTCACGTTCTACAGATGTAGATGCCACTGGTTCTTCATGTTCTACAGATGTAGATGCCACTGGTTCTTCATGCTCTGCAGATGTAGATGCCACTGGTTCTTCATGTTCTGTAGATGTAGATGCCACTGGTTCTTCATGTTCTGCAGATGTAGATGCCACTGGTTTTTCACGTTCTGCAGATGTAGATGCCACTGGTTCTTCACGTTCTACAGATGTAGATGCCACTGGTTCTTTAGGTTCTGTAGATGCAGATGCCACTGGTTCTTCATGTTCTGTAGATGTAGATGCCACTGGTTCTTCACGTTTTGCAGATGCAGATGCAACTGGTTCTTCACGTTCTACAGATGTAGATGCCACTGGTTCTTCACGTTCTACAGATGTAGATGCCACTGGTTCTTTATGTTCTGCAGATGTAGATGCCACTGGTTCTTCATGTTCTGTAGATGTAGATGCCACTGGTTCTTCATGTTCTGCAGATGTAGATGCCACTGGTTTTTCACGTTCTGCAGATGTAGATGCCGCTGGTTCTTCACGTTCTGCAGATGTAGATGCCACCGGTTCTTCATGTTCTGTAGATGTAGATGCCACTGGTTCTTCACGTTCTGTAGATGTAGATATCACTGGTTCTTCACGTTCTGCAGATGTAGATGCCACTGGTTCTTCATGTTCTGCAGATGTAGATGCCACTGGTTCTTCGCGTTCTGCAGATGTAGATGCCACTGATTCTTCACGTTCTGCAGATGTAGATGCCACTGGTTCTTCATGTTCTGCAGATGTAGATGCCACTGGTTCTTCATGTTCTGTAGATGTAGATGCCACTGGTTCTTAATGTTCTGCAGATGTAGATGCCACTGGTTTTTCACGTTCTGCAGATGTAGATGCCGCTGGTTCTTCACGTTCTGCAGATGTAGATGCCACCGGTTCGTCATGTTCTGTAGATGTAGATGCCACTGGTTCTTCACGTTCTGCAGATGTAGATGCCACTGGTTCTTCATGTTCTGCAGATGTAGATGCCACTGGTTCTTCGCGTTCTGCAGATGTAGATGCCACTGATTCTTCACGTTCTGCAGATGTAGATGCCAATGGTTCTTCACGTTCTGCAGATGTAGATGCCACTGGTTCTTCATGTTCTGCAGATGTAAATGCCACTGGTTCTTCACGTTCTGCAGATGTAGATGCCACTGGTTCTTCATGTTCTGCAGATGTAGATGCCACTGGTTCTTCACGTTCTGCAGATGTAGATGCCACCGGTTTTTTATGTTCTGCAGATGTAGATGCCACTGGTTCTTCATGTTCTGCAGATGTAGATGCCACTGGTTCTTCGCGTTCTGCAGATGTAGATGCCACCACCGCCATCTATTGCACGGCGGTTGATCTTACGGCTCTCGGTCCGAACAGGCAACTGGACATACGGAAAGGTTTGTTCATATCTCTGAAAATTTGTAAGTCGAATTTTCGTAAGCAGAAGAGTCCCTGTAAGCTCCCCAATGCATGCGTTTCTCCATTCGTCTCTCAGCGTAATTCCAAACGTGCATCTGTAAACGCCTTGTTTTTTTCTCACACACTCATCAGCTTTTGTTCCATTTCATTTAGCGGAATAATTCTCAGTCGACAACGCAAATTTCTCCTATCTTTGCAGAGTCGGCATCGAGCAACTGAAGCTCGCTCCGCTGGACCTTCGGTGGGTGGGGGGGGGGAGGCGATGAGGTGTCCATCTGCTGAAGGAAGGAAAGCAACGCAAATGTTGTCAAATGAACGATGCACAAACTGACCACAGTCTCTAAGAAAGCACTGTCCACGTTTTTTGTACGTCTCTGTTCATTTCCCTTTTTAACTTCTCCGCTTTTTTCCGCCAAACTCAGGATGTGAGGCCGGGGTGGGGGAGGGAGGATGGGGAGTATCCGAAGATGAGCGTAGGAGTACTGCAGCGCAGTTTGAAAGAGCGTCTCGCTCCGGTTGAAAGCGTAATGGTTTTGTTTTGTGTCACCGCCAGTGGCGTGCACGCACACTGATACGTCATCACATTTAGCTGTCCTTCCCCCGCACCTCCGGTTAAGGCGGTTGGCTACGTATGGTGCGGAAGAAGTTCAACATCCATACACACATTTCATCTTCTAACAGTTGGGAAACCCGTGGTCTTTCGCTGCAAGCCTGCCTCCTTTTGCTTTCAAGTGGCACTTCTCGTAGGGTTGTGACCTCTGGAGGTACAAAACAACTGGGTCTTATCGTGTGAAGGGAGAACTACATCTAACCGACAAAAAAAAAAAACCCAGAGTGTTTATTAATGCATCACGTTCCGGGAAGACTTACAGATATTGCAGGACGGCCACTTCAAACAAGAGGATGGTCCTGGGAAAACCAGGACAGGTGGGCAAGGCTTTCAGGACTCATCCACCACAAAGTTTGTGGCGGAGGAACAAATTTGTGCCAAATGTGTCCCAAGTTTGTGGCGAAGCACCGTTGCATGCAATCGAAACGCGTCGGTAACTGAAACTGTTTCCAGGCATGGATTTATGTTAATATATTAAAAAAAAGCGACTAGGCACAAGCACGAGCAGGTTGACTGCCCTGCGCGGGTATTCGCGGGTGCGCTGTGCGGCTGTCGAAAACATGGTTGTTTTGGTTCGTGCCGCGCACATTTCGGTGTGACCGCCCCGACGTGCCGCGAGCTTCTTCGCGCCGCTCCGATTCGGTTCTTCAGGAAGCTGCCCGGCACGCGCGGCCGAAATCTCGGCGCAACCCAAAGTGCACATGGGAGAGCCTGCGCAGCGCAACCGCGAAAACCTTCGGCAGCAGTTTGCCTGTTCGGTGATTGGTTGGGTTCGTGTCCTGTTTGGGTGCAACCCTAAACGCATCGGAGAGATATTTTACAACAACCTGAAATCAAATCACTTTATCGGTACCGAGGCTCCCACAAGGCCATGTGCGGGATGACGCGCGGCACAGTTTGGCGCCGGCTATCACAGAGTGCGGTCGTGTCGCTGCAGTTCTCTGCGGTGAGTACAACGTCTTCAAAAACAACGGCGCTACGCCTCTCTTAAGTGACACGAACGCTGAACACGCTCGCGCGTTCCAAGATTCAGCAGTGAATGGGATCCCTACCCTGCAACTTGCAGAGATGTCTCAGAACAGGAAAGGCTTAAAGGGGTCCGTTCCGTTTTTCGACTCCGTTTCAATGCTGAGCTGTGGTTTTGCACGGCCGATGCTGTCTGCACCGGATGAAGTTCCTCGGTTTCTTTGCCCGGTGCTCTGAATGCGCTCGATCAGCCTCCACCGCATCCTTCCTTGGATTGCGCTGACGATGGGGGCCAGCCAAGTTGGTGTCCTCGGCTGTTGTCTCTCGGGTGGCTTGTGACTGGAGGCTGTTTTTCACGCGATGCACGCGGCTCGCTCTCGTTGGTTGCCGATACCTTTTTTAGTGGAGACCGCGACGGACTTTGTGAGCCACAGCCCAGCAATGGAAACACCACGATGCAGGCCTTCACCGTGCGATGCCACTGCACGGGCCTGTGGTTTCCATAGCCCGGCGGTGGAAACACCACGATGCAGGCCTTCACCGTGCGATGCCGCTGCACGGGCCTGTGGTTTCCAAAGCCCGGCGGTGGAAACACGTGGCGTCCGTTATAATGTCACGTATATCCGTCACATGTCGCGTGTTTCAACATATCTGCAGTATGTGAGCAGTTCGGACTGCTCATACACTGCACTGGGTGTGGACACTTAACGGCAGACATGTGACTGTCGGATATGCAACATTGCACTGTGTGCATACAGTATGCATGCATTCCATGCGGTGTCGTTTGTTCGTCCCAGCTTAGTGGTACACGCTTGTAAGCCAGCGGTTGGGGTTGGGAGGGTTGGTGGATCGCTCGGAGATGAACTGGAGGACAGGCAGGAAGCCCCTTTTTTGTGGTGGGATGGCAACTGGGACATAAGATCGTTAGAAGAACATCACAATACCGGAAGAGGGGAGAAACTACACGTGACGTCATGTCTCGAGTGGTGTATTGTTATCATTATTGTTACACAAATTACGAAAAGCTGGACTGTTAATGTCCCCGTAAGACTTTCAGATTGTGCTGCATGGTTATGTCACAGAGAGGAAGATTTCGTGAAACCAGGATGGGTCGCAACCCCTTCAGCAGCCTGTAGACAAACCCTTCAGCAGCCTGTAGACAAACCCTACAGAAGCCTGTAGACAAACCCTACAGCAGCCTGTAGACAAACCCTACAGCAGCCTGTAGACAAACCCTACAGCAGCCTGTAGACAAACCCTACAGAAGCCTGTAGACAAGCCCTACAGCAACCTGTAGACAAACCCTACAGCGGCCTGTAGACAAACCCTACAGCGGCCTGTAGACAAACCCTACAGCAGCCTGTAGACAAACCCTACAGCAGCCTGTAGACAAACCCTACAGAAGCCTGTAGACAAACCCTACAGCAGCCTGTAGACAAACCCTACAGCAGCCTGTAGACAAACCCTACAGCAGCTTGTAGACAAACCCTACAGCAACCTGTAGACAAACCCTACAGCAGCCTGTAGACAAACCCTACAGAAGCCTATAGACAAACCCTACAGCAACCTGTAGACAAACCCTACAGCGGCCTGTAGACAAACCCTACAGCAGCCTGTAGACAAACCCTACAGCAGCCTGTAGACAAACCCTACAGAAGCCTATAGACAAACCCTTCAGCAGCCTGTAGACAAACCCTACAGCAGCCTGTAGACAAACCCTACAGAAGCCTATAGACAAACCCTACAGCAGCCTGTAGACAAACCCTACAGAAGCCTGTAGACAAACCCTACAGCGGCCTGTAGACAAACCCTACAGCAGCCTGTAGACAAACCCTACAGCGGCCTGTAGACAAAGCGTTGTTTGTCTCGTCCCTTGGAGGCACGGGCTCTGCCCTAGCACGCGCGGCCACTTGAACGAGCCTTTGCCGGCCGATGCTGCTGGAGACGAGGCTGGCCCCTGTGTCTCTGTCCGGCGACGATCGTGTTGGCCCCGCGTCGTATGAGCCACGCTCAAGCGCCACACGCGCACTGCTGAAGGTGTTCGTTCCATTTCATTGCCATCACTGGCAAACCTCACCACCACCCCCCTCCACTGCTGCAATCCTCAAAGGTAATGGGGGTGAACCTTCACGAGACGGTCAACCATCGGATATCCGACCGTCACATATCCTCCCAGACGGAAGTAATCGCCCCCACCCCCCAAGACACACACACACAACCAGCGCAGGAGAATTTGTGAACGGTGTAACTCGCTTTCTCTGCTCGTTTTCACAAATTTGACCTTTCTCTTCAAGGACCGTCGCTTCGTTGACGTTCCTTACGAAGGACCGCCGCCGTCTCGTATTCACCACTTGCGTTGCGCGGCTCTTGAAATGTTGAGTCTTGTTTTTTTTTTGTCCCACCGAATTCGAAATAAAAACGGCCGTCAATTGTTTTTTTTCTTTTTCCGGTCGCCCACCCGCCTGGCCTAGCGGCGGCTGCGTTTACCACGTGTTGCGGAGGTTCGCAGTTCGAATCCAGCGGCCGCCCTGATTAATACCGCGGGTGGATTAACCGTAAATATAAATGTGTATATATATACATAAAACACGCCGTCTGATTCACGGTGGACGTTAAAAGAGCCCGTGACGTCGTTGGCAAAGGGGGAGGCCGCTGTGCGCCGGCGTCGCGGCCAAAATAAAAATAAAAATTCCCAGCGAAATTACTCGATTATAAATTTTGTACTGTACGTAGTACTTGCCAATCATCGCCACTCCCCCCCCTCCCTTACTAAGAAATATTTGCAGGACCTTCCTGAAAGGATCATGAGACTCGGGGGGCATCCCCACCCCCCCCCCCCCCCTGAGTAAACATGCACAATAACAATGGATCAAATAATACCAATTATTAATCAGACCTACTTGTGAATGTTCACCGCGATGTTGCTGGCTCGCTCACTTCATATTCATTTTGAAATCGCTTCTCGGCGCAGTATTTATTCACGACGACGACGAGCCATGTGATCTCGATGACACTGACGGCTGATCTTTTTCCAGCTGTCTGAGCAGGGACTGGAGTGAGAGAGAGAACCCCGAACCCCCATATGCAATTGACCGCCCCGACGCAACGCTCCTCTGCGTTTCTCTGCGGGACGAGTGTCCCCTTGGTCCAAGCAACAAAAGTGTGGGAAGCTAACTCGATACGAAACTCGGGAGGGTGCACGTGAGAATTGGTGTCAGCGGTGTTGCGACCTGCGGTCGATTTATTTTCGTACTGCGTTCATAAAATCGCGTGATTACGTTTTTTTGTTTCTGACCGTGCAGAATGAAAACTCTAAGAAACACATGTTTGCGATTATTGTATTGTCTGCTCATTAGCTGTGTAGACTTATGACAAATGGTTTGTCTTAAGGCATATGATGATGATAAGCGAGTAAGCATACTTTTTTATATGCAGCAATCTTTGCATTGCTTTATTGATATTCCAAAATTTATAAAACTGTAATCACTTTTGCATTGCTCTTAAAAAGAAAAAAAACGACAAAAATATAGAACTGTACTTCATGTTTTATGAATTTTGTATTTATGTATTTATTGATTTGAATTATTTATTGGCAGTTACAGCTCGTCTCTGTATATATCATTTGCACGACACTGAACTCACGGAATTTATAAACATGCCAATGTGATGATGGTCACGAATTGTCTCCGTCTTTCACTTTTTGTATCCACTGCCTTGTCTCCTGCCGCGGTGTCCAATGTGTGAATGAGGAGCAGGAATTCAAGTAGATATTCAAGTAGACGTCCAACTGGCGTGTGGCAGAGTAGGCCAAATACCCACTGAGGTCGGCCGTCTCTCGCGATTCCTCGAGTGGCGGCTCTTGTGCAATGCACGGCTGCAGCGTTACCGAGAGACTCAAATCTGCGAGGCTTTCGCCACCAATGTCATCCATAATACATTGTTTTTTGTTGTTGGCTTAGATTGTGTAAATATATAAATGTGTCGTTAAATCCGCCACCACCCGACACAGCCAATTGGCAAGGCGTGTCACGTAAACGGAACGTGTCAATTGGATGTGTCAGGTGGTGGCGGGTTGTTTTCAGAACGCGAATTGGTTATAACGCGATGAATGTATTCGGGAACGTCTTTTTTCTTGTTATAACGCGGATGCGAATTGGATACAACGCGATCGAGTGAACGGAACCACGACGCGCGAGTAGGAATAAGCGGTTGTAGCGGCTGCCTCGGCGTAGCGTCATCACACGAGACGTTGGGATGCTGCTGGATGCTTCTAGATGCTACCCACGCGCCTCAAGTCTTTGTTCTGCCAGCGTGCGCATCTCACGTGTTAGCGCGGAATGTGCTTTACCCCTATATTATACAGGGTGTTTGAAAAGGATGGACCCGATTTGAAATCACTATATCTCTGCAACCACGAACCGCCCATGAATGAAACTCTTACCACTTGAAAGGGCGGGGCATAGAGAGGGCGGGGCATTGAGTTTCAAATGATTACCGCCAGATGCCTCTCCCAGCGCACAAACAGCCCCTAGATTCAGTCATTCGCAAGGCACACTGCCTCAACGTTGGATAGGTCGCACGGGACCCCAAGACGTGGCGCTACACTCTTGGCCCCCAAGATCCCCAGACATCACCACACCCTGCGACTATTTCTTGTGGGGACACGTCAAAGACCGTGGTGTCTTTGTGCCACCATTAGCGACTAATCTGAGTGACCTCAAAAACAGAATCGCGGCAGCGGTGACTTCAGTGGAAGAAGACACTTTCAGAGGCGTTTGGGACGAATTCAACTATCGTCTCGATGTTGTCCATACAGCAGTGGAGGGCAAAATAGAGCATTTATAAAATGGTTAGTAAACCTTGATAACTCATTAAACCGTTTGTAACGTTTTGTGTAATTGTAACATGTTGCCATCTGCTTTAAAATTTGGTCCATGTTTTTCAAACACCCTGTATATTCATTCATATAACGCGATTTTTTCATCACGCGGTGTTCTTCAGGAACGCAACTACCGCATTATGGGAGAAGAATAATGTGCGTGAGACCCTGGTGATGGTGTGAAATAGCTTTATTTTCCATTCAGATTTTGCGCCAGACAACTTGTCTGTGAACAGCTCGTCGATCCACTGGCTCCGCACACCGTGACATACTTCACCCCGCCGGTCAGTGGCAGTTGGTGAATGTGGCCCACAGGTACAAAACCCACTTGGTTTCGGTGTTTATTTTTTTAATTTCAATGAATAGAAAATGCCACCTTTACCGTCACGCCACACGTCTTGGCCTGGTGCGCTCGATATGGGACGTTAGCGTGCTCGATGTTTGATGTATGAAATAATTTGCCGGGTCATTAGGACTTCTGTACGCGGTAGCAAAGCCTCCGCTGGACCCAGGCTGCCCGAAGGTTGCTCTAATTTTGGAGGCTAAACGTACACATTGTATATACCGTACGTTGAGCTTCTACGGTGCCGTACATAGCCAACCGTGCTAATCGGAGGTGCTGTGGGGGGGGGGGGGAATTCCAAACTAAACAAAACGCAGAGAGCCTGCCACATGTGGTGTTGTGCACGTAGCGCAGTGGTTAGACCTTAGCACAGTGGTTAGACCAGAGCACAGTGGTTAGACCACAGCGAAGTGGTTAGACCATAGCACAGTGGTTACACCACAGTGGCTAGGCCATAGCACAGTGGTTAGAGTCTAACCACTGTGCTATGGTCTAACCGTTAGACCATAGCACAGTGGTTACACCACAGTGATTAGACCATAGCACAGTGGTTAGACATAGCACAGTGGTTAGACCATAGCACAGTGGTTAGACCATAGCACAGTGGTTAGACCACAGTGGTTAGACTATAGAACAGTAGTTAGACTATAGAACAGTAGATAGACTATAGAACAGTAGTTAGACTATATAACAGTAGTTAGACCATAGAACAGTAGTTAGACTATAGAACAGTAGTTAGACTATAGAACAGTAGTTAGACCATAGAACAGTAGTTAGACTATAGAACAGTGGTTAGACCACAGTAGTTAGACTATAGAACAGTAGTTAGACTATAGAACAGTAGTTAGACTATAGCACAGTAGTTAGACTATAGAACAGTAGTTAGACTATAGAACAGTAGTTAGACCATAGAACAGTAGTTAGACTATAGAACAGTGGTTAGACCACAGTAGTTAGACCATAGAACAGTAGTTAGACTATAGAACAGTGGTTAGACCACAGTAGTTAGACTATAGAACAGTAGTTAGACTATAGAACAGTAGTTAGACTATAGAACAGTAGTTAGGCCATAGAACAGTAGTTAGACTATAGAACAGTAGTTAGACTATAGAACAGTAGTTAGACTATAGAACAGTAGTTAGACTATAGAACAGTAGTTAGACTATAGAACAGTGCTTAGACAATAGAACAGTGGTTAGACTATAGAACAGTGCTTAGACAATAGAACAGTGGTTAGACTATAGAACAGTAGTTAGACTATAGAACAGTAGTGAGACTATAGAACAGTAGTTAGACTATAGAACAGTAGTTAGTCTATAGAACAGTGGTTAGACTATAGAACAGTAGTTAGACTATAGAAAAGTAGTTAGACTATAGAACAGTAGTTAGACTATAGAACAGTGGTTAGACTATAGAACAGTAGTTAGACTATAGAACAGTAGTTAGACCATAAAACAGTAGTTAGACTATAGAACAGTGGTTAGACTATAGAACAGTAGTTAGACTATAGAACAGTAGTTAGACTATAGAACAGTAGTTAGACTATAGAACAGTAGTTAGACTATAGAACAGTAGTTAGACTATAGAACAGTAGTTAGACTATAGAACAGTAGGTTAGACTATAGAACAGTAGTTAGACTATAGAACAGTAGTTAGACTATAGAACAGTAGTTAGACTATAGAACAGTAGTTAGACTTTAGAACAGTAGTTAGACTATAGAACAGTAGTTAGACTATAGAACAGTAGTTAGACTATAGAACAGTAGTTAGACTATAGAACAGTAGTTAGACTATAGAACAGTAGTTAGACTATAGAACAGTAGTTAGACTATAGAACAGTAGTTAGACTATAGAACAGTAGTTAGACCTATAGAACAGTAGTTAGACTATAGAAACAGTAGTTAGACTATATAACAGTAGTTAGGACTATAGAACAGTAGTTAGACTATAGAACAGTAGTTAGACTATAGAACAGTAGTTAGACTATAGAACAGTAGGTTAGGCCATAGAACAGGTAGTTAGACTATAGAACAGTAGTTAGACTATAGAACAGTAGTTAGACTATAGAACAGTAGTTAGACTATAGAAACAGTAGTTAGACTATAGAACAGTAGTTAGACTATAGAAACAGTAGTTAGACTATAGAACAGTAGTTAGACTATAGAACAGTAGTTAGACTATAGAAACAGTAGTTAGACTATAGAACAGTGGTTAGACTATAGAACAGTAGTTAGACCATAGAACAGTGGTTAGACTATAGAACAGTAGTTAGACTATAGAACAGTGGTTAGACTATAGAACAGTAGTTAGACTATAGAACAGTAGTTAGACTATAGAACAGTAGTTAGACTATAGAACAGTAGTTAGACTTTAGAACAGTAGTTAGACTATAGAACAGTAGTTAGACTATAGAACAGTAGTTAGACTATAGAACAGTAGTTAGACTATAGAACAGTAGTTAGACTATAGAACAGTGGTTAGACTATAGAACAGTAGTTAGACTATAGAACAGTAGTTAGACGATAGAACAGTAGTTAGACTATAGAACAGTAGTTAGACTATAGAACAGTAGTTAGACTATAGAACAGTAGTTAGACTATAGAACAGTGGTTAGACTATAGAACAGTAGTTAGACTATAGAACAGTAGTTAGACTATAGAACAGTAGTTAGACTATAAAACAGTAGTTAGACCATAGAACAGTAGTTAGACTATAGAACAGTAGTTAGACTATCTATAGAACAGTAGTTAGGCCATAAAACAGTAGTTAGACTATAGAACAGTAGTTAGACTATAGAACAGTAGTTAGAACAGTAGTTAGACTATAGAACAGTAGTTAGGCCATAGAACAGTAGTTAGACTATAGAACAGTAGTTAGACTATAGAACAGTAGTTAGACTATAGAACAGTAGTTAGACTTTAGAACAGTAGTTAGACCATAGAACAGTAGTTAGACTTTAGAACAGTAGTTAGACTATAGAACAGTAGTTAGACTATAAAACAGTAGTTAGACCATAGAACAGTAGTTAGACTATAGAACAGTAGTTAGACTATAGAACAGTAGTTAGACCATAAAACAGTGGTTAGACTATAGAACAGTAGTTAGACCATAGAACAGTGGTTAGACTATAGAACAGTAGTTAGACTTTAGAACAGTAGTTAGACTATAGAACAGTAGTTAGACTATAAAACAGTAGTTAGACTTTAGAACAGTAGTTAGACTATAGAACAGTGGTTAGACTATAAAACACTAGTTAGACTATAGAAAAGTAGTTAGACCATAGAACAGTAGTTAGACTATAGAACAGTGGTTAGACTATAGAACAGTAGTTAGACTATAGAACAGTAGTTAGACTATAGAACAGTAGTTAGACTATAGAACAGTAGTTAGACCATAAAACAGTGGTTAGACTTTAGAACAGTAGTTAGACTATAGAACAGTAGTTAGACTATAGAACA